TTTTTTTGAAATACATACTATGTGCCATATCACAACATTGCTCAACTCGTGTTCATCTGTTCGCCCCCTCGCCCGCCCGCCCACCGGCTTGTTTCCCGCCCGCCCACAACAACAAAAGTGCAAACTAATTTACTTCCCATCAGAGTTCATTTTAAGTTATAATAACCATGACATAAAAAGTTTTGCTACACGCGAAGTGTGTCACGCGTTTCGAGTTTGACACGCTTTCCTCCTGACTCGCCTGCGATAACACGAGGCAACTCGCCGTAGAGTTCTACACATTGAGATAACCGCAGCGCTGTGTGATCTATACGACATCTGTCGTCCCGCCTGTCGAAGTCTGGAATGTGTCCTCGCGGGATCTGGTCATCAGTTGTGCACCGGGTCGAGGCTAATTAAAGGCCGCAGTGAATTTCCGATGGGAAGTACAAGTACACACGAGCCACACTTGCCACAAGGACTCGTCGTCGCAGTCGATTCTGGACCAAGCTTTCTGACAAATTGCTTCGCCAGTTCGGTGCAACAGTATCCCTCGCGAGCTACTGTTGAGGTGTCACGGTGTGATGCAGCCAGTTACGCGGCTCACTTTTCTCATCTTTTCTCCTTTATGAATCACATAAGAAAGAAGAAAGAACTAGCTGGAGGGAGGACGGCTTGTTGGCAATGCGCGCCCATAGTTTCTATTTCTTAGTAGAAAACAGCATGACACAACAAAGATAACACCAAACCACACTAGCGCGAACCACCAACAGCTGCCATTTATATTTTGCTGCACAAGTATATACACGCATTCTGGAAAGGGAAAAAGTGGAGGAGAGGGCGATGATTTGTCTGCACTTACACAGAGACATTGACAAATAAAGCACATTGTGTACACTTTCTCTCATGTACACTGGTTGTGCAGACAGCCTTGTAACACAATGCACTAATGATACTGCTACCTGCTGTACGGCTGCCATATATACTCGTGGCCTTCACATCAAAACAACAAGACTTTCGACCCTTCTTAAGCCGCTTACATTATTCGCACACCTTGTCGCTGCCTATGATGAGTGTTAGCCGAAAGGGTGACCCCGTGTTTGCGGTGAAGGGGCGACAAAGGAACGCAGGAGTGTTCCAGATGCCAACGTCAAAAATTGTTTTCTTTTTTAAAGCAAAAAATAAATTGATTACTTAGCTATAAATTAGTCTATAAAACGCTGCATCGTGACAATTTTTCCTTGGATCGCATCAGTACGAAAAAGACAATCATATATGGGGCAAATCACATATATCTGCCTGTTTAATAAAAACACTTACGGAAATATTTGAAGTCTATTTGACTCCTAAAAGTTTTTCACAATAGTATGCTTTCATAAAAACCACACTAACATTAAGATTGCTCAGAGAGAGTTCCAGCTAACAAAGGAAAAATGGAAAACATTGAAGATTATTGTAAATTTTGATCAGGCCGAACTGCTAGGTAAAAGCAAACATTTCTCAATACTTTAATAGCACAACTAAACAATACCTCCTTAGTATCTCAAGCACTGTTTTGAGGTTTCGCAAAGAAATATTAATTTTACATACATTTTTTTTCTTGTGCACACTTCAGGCAAAGCAAGCGAACTTTGAGGCTGTCTAATCGAATCTTTTCCAAAGCAGTGTACAAGTGTCTGTCAATAGAATTTTTACTCGCTCCATTGCTTCAAAAGTTTGTTAATTAAACATGACTAAATTAGACAACTATGCTGAAAACAAAAAATTGGGACATACCTGCAGCAACATGTATTTTGTCACGTCATGATAAACACGTCGGTATATTTGTGAACTGTGGCTTCGGTTTGCTGGTATACACAGTGTGTGCGCCGCGTGAAAACCTTTATATTTGTCGCATGAATGCGCGCGCGTGTATGTGGGTGTGTATGTGTTTATTTATGGTTTTTAAACGCATTTTGTGTCAACTGGTATGCCAGGAAGTCATTGTTTAGCTTTTACTAAGTCATATGAAGCGGGAATACCATACAGTCTTATGCATCTTTGAAAAGGGTATACCACAAAAAACGAGTACTCCAAAAGAAATATAACACACCACAACTTGCCGGGTGTCGCCGTATTTTGCGCTGCCCTTTTCAAAGGTGCTAACCAATCCCAACTTACCCGAATGCCAATTTTTCTGCAGTATATTTCCATGCAGACTCACGTTTTTGTTTGGTAGTTTCTTTTTTTTTATGTTTGCAGTTTTTGAAAGCAGTGAAGTAACTACCTTTGTATGACCATGCACTTTTTAAAAATGTCTGTGTGTGCTCCACCGAGTGTGCTCGTGATTGTGTGTACCTTCTCATCTCTCTGCAACCTCTTTTCTCCCCTTCATCCCTTCCCCAGTGCAGGGTAGCAAACCAGATGTGCGTTCAGTTAACCTCCCTGCCTTTCCTTGCATATTTATCTCTCTCTCTCTCTCTTTAAACATGTCAGTGAACAGCTCGTGACCACCTGTGTTTACCAGGGGTGCTATTCTGGACATTATCGCATTCCGCCATGTTGTCAGATTCCGCCATTGATCGCTGCTAATTGGCCAAGTGAGCTGCCACGACCTCCCTGATTGGCTTAAAATGCCGCCATTGCAAAATTCGACAATATGGTGGAATTAGTCAGTGTCCAGAATAGCACCCCAGCTTCGAGTGCACTTTACTATACCTTCGCTTCATCTTTACATAGTCAACAGCTAAGTTTGTAAGTTTGGCCGTTACCATACAGGAAGCTTTCTCGGTGATTTCCACTAGGCAAATACAAAGTCATCGGTCTTACCCGATGCTTTGTGGATGCTGTTCTATATTATGTCACAATTGTGGCAGCCTTTAACAACGTTTACACAAACTTGAATCATCTTTATTATGTTAGAACAACACTTTTGTGCTACGCAATGACACACATAGACACAAACTGTAGGGCACAAGAAAATGGGTAGGAAACATTCATTATAATTTTAAGTAATACGGTTGCGAACTGGTAAGATGTGTGCTATTTCAGAAACACATAAATAGTAGCCAAGTAACTCTTAAAATAAATGGCGTACGCTTAATTAGTGTTTGATATACAGTGAATGCGTGTGTAAGTGTGAGTTCACTCGTATTTAATGCGTTGATGCCTACGTTTACTTTGCTGGTGGGATGTGTACTTACCACGGTAACTACACAATTGGTGGTAAAGAATTGGGTTAACAGAAAATTGCCATGTCGTTTAGTCTTACTTTTTCTTTTAATCTTGTGTGTGTTAATACATATAATCAAGGCGGTAAGGCAAAGCACACGGCACACATAAATAGGCGAAAACCTCTAGCTATTTTTTTAATTCAAAGGACGGTCCGTTGGCATACCAAGCACACATAAAACAACACAGGCTCATCACACATAAATAAAGAGGTTACACGCATGTTTAAAGTTTAACAACGATTGGTGGAACGGTCCTCTTATTTTTTTCATGTAGTATATGCTAGTTTCAGTGTGCCTATACTCTGTCGTTTGTGCGGTTACCAACAACTTAGTAGGTAGCCGCAACTTACGAACAACCAAAACTAGTATGGGAGGGTGAGATGGTCTGACGAATATGGCTCGCTGGTCATGACATGAATAATTTCGTAATTCTGTCGCACACGTCCACAAATCTTTTCAACACGACGTGCGGCACATACCTGCTTGCATGTATGTTCCACAAGTATGCGGGTATGTGCGACTGGTGATTGACAGTTTATACACCCCAAAACGGCGAGAAAAGACATGGGTAATTTCAGAGCATGAGCGTTAAGAAAAAGCTGACATGTGCATCGTTGACCTGACAAATGCGAAAAATAAATGCCAGGGTCCGAGCAGGAACCAAACTGAAGCATTCTGCGTGGCAATCAAATATTCTATCACAGAGATATGTACGCCGAATCTCGGAATCCCTTTTCATGTAGACCCTTACGTTCGAGACACGTCAATTGTGGTTGCAGTGCTGGCTATCCGGTTTTATAAACATCATCTATGTGCTCCTTTGATGCAGCCGTCACGTCGGGTTCAGGTCATTTGTAGTTAGGCGCCATCCAGTGAAGTTGGTTTTTGTAGCAGTGCCCAGGTGCGTTTACTCATAACATCCTCGCAAGCACCAGCCCCTCGTATCAGCTTACCGTTTTGTGTGTGTGTGTGTGTGTGTGTGTGTGTTGCTAATATTCATGTTGCTGTTGGCTTCATTACGCAACTGTACGCAGCTTGTTATACGAAAAATATGCATCTGTTTAACGTATGTGCCAGCATGCATTTGTTAGCATCCTGCAGGACAAGAACAAACTTGTTTCATTCCATTTGGCGCCGTCCGCCTCAGTATGGCTCGAGTGCTCGGCTATTGCCCGGAAGATCGCGGGTTCGATTCCGGCCTTGGTGGTCGCATTTCGATGGAGGGAAAAATGCTGTAGGCCCGTGTGTGGTGCACGTACCCCAGATGGTCATAACTATATACGGCGTCTCTCATAATCATATGCTTGTTTTGGGATGCCAGATCATACTATTATCTTTTGCACCACTTCGTAACGTTTCCCTCCGTAAAAAAATGCCACACATTCCTCTTTCATACGCATGCTTAGCATAACATCGATTCTCTAAGGTACGTGTGGTCTGCCAATTCTTTTTTTTTTTTTAAATTTTTTAACGACATTTTCTTAACTACGCTAAAGAGTATATAGGCTGCCAAGCTTGGGCTCGCAGGTGTTCTGTGCAGTATGGGGGGCAGTGCCCCCAGAGAAAACACAGCGCTCGTCCATCTGATTTCTCGGTGGGTTTACGCGCCCTTGTCGCGTTGTACTTTCACGGCAAACTGCACAGAACTAGCGTGACGTCTCGGTAGATCCATAAATAGCCGAGTGCCAGACATCCTCATAGCGCGAGCCGGCGACCTTGATGGGCGCCGACGACTAATACGCGTTCATGCGTTCAAAAAGAAAGGTAAGAAATAATAAAACTAGCCGACAGTGCGCAGGCGGATAAAAATGGAAAGAAGTAACACTGAGAGGAAATCAAGTCTCCGCAGACACGCACATTCAGCGCTGGATAGATACGCCGAGAGAATACCGTGGCCTCAACATTATTTTTCGCTAGCGTAAAGGATGGTCACGTGATCGTACGTGATTGCTGTTTCGTGTGTGCTCAGCAGGCGTTTGCGTAGCGTCGGAACGTGGACACCGAGAGTTCGTTTCTGCATTCGGGGCCACCGCTTGAGGAAAGGGGTCTCCTTACAGCGACAAAGGTAAGCCATTGAAAACCTATTAGAATCTTTGTTGCAGTGATCTCAAGAAAGGGCTTGGGTTTTCGGGCTTCCTATAATGACAATGGCGTGGAGCTAAGTTTCATTTTTGAATTAGTGAAATATTATATTCGAAAGGAGGGGGAAAATTAGGATATGTATCTGTAACACCAAGTATGCCATTTGTTCACCACCGGTTGCAAGGTTGTTTTATTGAAAACTACACACCGGGCCACTGGCCACCGTTTTGCATCGATGCAAAGGCGTCCGCGTTATAATGTGGTGGTGACGTGTGTTTTACCAGGCTAGACAAAGAAAAAATACTCGCCTTTTTTTCACATTTTTTCCCAAGTTGACTCAATGTCTTTCTCTTGAATAAATCTTTCTGACTATCAAAAGAAAAAAAGAAGTTCACAACCCGCTTCTCTACCCCTAATAGCAGCATGTCCTTATTTTCCCCGCTAATTATTTTGGACCTTGCTCTTTAAATTTCTGCCACCAACACTCCTGACCGGCTCTTATTTCTATCACGGGCGTGTTCAGCTTTCCATTACTGCCCCTAAAACCCAAGCCTTCATTTAGGCTTGTCCCGAAACGCACACCAGGGCGCATACCTCTACATTTAGTCGGAGCATGTGGTGCCATCTCTTTTCCTTCCGCACATGAGCGTTTATCTTTTCATTTGCTAAATTTCGCTTTATTACTATGCTTAGTCAGGTAACCGGCTGTCGCTGTAAACTGTAGAGCGCCTCACCTCCAGTTATCATGAAATACCTCCCTCGTTATTTCGTTTTAGGGGCGAGGCTCCATAAGGCATAGGCTTGCCCGCCATAGTAGCGACCCCTAGTACTGGGAGTGCTCAAAAGTTGGCTATGGCGCTGCGACGCTCACCCCACTCCGATGTACAGACAGACAGACAGACAGACAGACAGACAGACAGACAGACAGACAGACAGACAGACAGACAGACAGGCAGGCAGACAGGCAGGCAGGCAGACAGACAGGCAGGCAGGCAGGCGGGCAGGCAGGCAGGCAGGCAGACGGATGGCCGGACGGCCGGACGGACGGACGGATGGACGAATAGACAGACAGAGACAGACATGCAGGCAGGCAGACAGGCAGGCAGCAGGCAGATGGACGGACGGACAGACAGACAGACAGACAGACAGGCAGGCAGGCAGGCAGGCAGGCAGACAGGCAGACAGACAGACAGACGGATGGACGGACGGTCGGATGGACGAACGAACAGACAGACAGACAGACAGACAGACAGACAGACGGACGGAAGGACGGACGGACGGACAGATGGACGGACGATTAGACAGACAGACAGACGGACGGACAGATGATTAGACAGACAGACAGACAGACGGACGGACAGACAATTAGACAGACAGACAGACAGAAAGACGGACGGACGGACAAACGATTAGACAGACAGACAGACAGACAGACAGACAGACAGACAGACACACAGACAGACAGACAGACAGATAGACAGACGATCGGTCGGTCGGTCGGACGTACGGATGGACAGAAAGACAGACAGAGTGACAAACAGACAGACGGACAGTTGTCACATTATCAGTGTGTTGTTGAACTGTCGCGTTGTGTTTGTTGATGTCAGTCTACATGTGCACTTTTTATGAAGTTATATTAGTACATGTACAGTCAATCGAAACCAGTATTGACAGTCTATTCCTGTGCGCCGTGAATCCTTTCAGTCCGATTCTTGTGGGCACTCACGCAGTTGCGTTTGCAAGCCATGTTCTGAAAATTCATGTGGAACTTATGCATTGTATTCAGTCCCGTTAATAAGCTTAAAGTACTGCCTTTCATCTTTGAGCCATCTCTGCCGAATTTCTAGGTCATTGAGTGATTTGAGCACGCATAGTGAGGTGCACATGTACTCTGTGGCCGCCACGCTACGCTGCATAATGCATGCCCACACATGGGCACGTGATCACACTGCAAGCAGGCCACGCATTGGAATGAACATAGACGCAAAAACAGAAAAGGCAAGAAAAAGGAGGAAGAAAAATAAGAAGTGCAGGGTCTTGAGGCGTGTCTGAAGTAACTTCTTTGCCCCTTGCCATCCCTAAAGTGCGAAACGCTTTTTTGCGTATTAGTAATGTTTCGCTTTTAAGAGTTGAACACGATAGCGAAATCCGACCCCTAGTGCACCCTTCAACCGCTAAGTGCATATTTATTCATATGTTTTGTTAAATACGCACGCACACAAAAACGCACACAGTAAGCTGGACCAGCACGCTATTATCGCTAAATGGGCTCGTTTTCGTCGTTACACCTGTCGAACAAAATGCGTTAAAGGGGCCCTGAAACACTTTTTCAAGTAACCATGGAATGAATTCGCTAGACGAGCTTATTGCCTCACGAATCCAACACCGCAAGAATTTTAAGAATCCGTCCGGCGCGAGTAAAGTTACAAAGGTTTGTCACTTGCTGCAATTGCAGTATCTATTCTCTCGTCCCGACGAAAGCGCTGGAAGCTAAGAAGGGAGGGGTGGCAGGGCAAAGAAACTACCACGCCGCGTGACCTCAAGTACTTTTATTTTTCTTCGAATGCGCAGCTCTTTCAGTGCGATCGCGCGCGCATGCTTGGACAAGTAGCGGCGTCCCGCGGCTATCTCGGCAACTTGATTTTTCGATCACAGACACACAGACGATTTTACCCTCACAACCAACGGGGCCGACGCCGGCGGCGGGTTTTTTGCGACAAGAGCTCTTTAACGCTATCGCGTAAAAATTTCACAATCCCTAAAACACATCTCTTACTGCGACACGACAACGAAACGCTCGAAAGGATACTGCGGGTAGAGACGCCATTTTGAGATTCCAGCACCGAGCCCTGTGACGTTATAAATTTTGAAGGCGTCTAATGGGTCCTCGCTTCAAACCGATAAAATTGAAGTACATTGTAATCTGCGGGTGCCCTAAAACTAGCATACAAAGTTTCAAAAAATTGCAATGAGCCAACATGGCAAAGAAAAGAAAAAAATACTGCAATTTCTTATGTCACGCGCGGCGATTACAGCGTAAAAGTTAAAAAATGAAAACTCAACCTCGACTTTCTCCACTAATAATGAACCTATCACCATGAAACTTATGACATTATAGTGCTCACAATGCAGTTAATCAATCTAAAACAACTCATTCTTTCTCTTCAGTGCACCTTTAACAGCTTGCAGAGCACTGGTCGTGACGAGAAAAGAGAGAAAAGGATTACAGCTTGTGACAATATATATATATATATATATATATATATATATATATATATATGTGTGTGTGTGTGTGTGTGTGTGTGTGTGTGTGTGTGTGTGTGTGTGTGTGTGTGTGTGTGTGTGTGTGTGTGTGTGTGTGTGTGTGTGTGTGTGTGTACTCTGGTCGTACTTGCCAGTTTCTCAAAATTTTTGCTGTGGTCGATTCACGTGACTGTTAACTTTCTTATGAAGCCCTTTTTATAAACCTTTTTAATTTTAGCTCCTTAAATAAATGTTCGTAATTCACTCATGCTGCGTCTCGTTATCAATAATGGTATTATGACAATATGGTGTACAATAACGTATAGTAGGGTGATTCCACGAAAGATCGACATCGGTCCAAAAATTGATATTTTAGATTTCATTGAGTATTTTATATTTTGTGCACCTCTCACCAGGTAGCCTGAAAGTCAACATCGTTTTATGATTAACGACATAACTTACGAGAAAAAAAAAACCAAACTTCATCAACACGGAGGCACCAATTTCGTCACCTGTCATTTTCGAAAATTGCAGATGCTATAAAAAGAAAAATATTTTTGTTTCAAAGAAGATATTTTTTACCTGAAATGCATGTCTAATGAAGAATGAATTCATACGGTTTCAAGTTTGTGGACCTTTAGAAAATAGCTTTTAAAAATGTCTAATTTTGCGGCAGTTTAAAATAAGTTACGCATTCCCCCCTCCCTTTTTTTTCTCCGAAAGTAATGTAAGCAGCGTTTTCAAACTTGACACGTTACAAGGATATAGTGTGTTCATTAGGTACATAAATTATTGCTGCCATAGGGGAAATGTAAATTTTTATATATTGCCTCAAAGTTCTCATATTGGCAAAAGTGTACTCCACTGAAATTTGAATAATAAAAAAAACTACATCTTCGATTTTTCTTAAAATCTCGTAAATAGACAAACGAAGGCCATCATACAGTAATATAGAAAAACATGTTGCAATATTTTGTTTTTAGCGACAATATTCGTGGTACAAATTAGGGCTTTTCGAGAATGCGCTGATAAGTTGAGAAATCTAGAAATCGGAACGGAAAAGCGGCAATAAGCTTCAAACGCGAGTAAACGTGACCGCATTTGGTGAAGAAAGGCTGTTTTAGCAGATAGGAATAACTATTTTGAACACAGTATTCTACAGTATCTGAATTTACTCTTATACGTAGAGCACTGAGATTTCTAATATGTGGTGCCTCTCCATTACTGACACACAGATGGAGCTGCTGTGACGGCCATGTGTTTGCAACACGTTGGGTAAGAGAATTGAATGTTGAAAGAGTTCATAAACGATTCATAACAAATTTTTATCATTTGGGGCACGAAGACTGCCGCATTAGACTGAAGAACACGCTTTAGGGCAAGTTGTCATCCGTCGTCTGCTCTACAGATGAATTGCTGTGCGCCGCATGTCGGAGGCAATGCTTTAGATCATATGAATCAAAGTAGGGACAAAGATTACGCCTCCCATAATTTTATCGACAAAAACATTGTGAAATTCATTTTAACGTACTATACTTCAGTTTTGCATTCGCACTGTGGATACTTGCGCACGCTGTTTTACGTCTGCTCTCATTAAAGGTGAGAGACATAGGAACAGACGACAGATAGATCACTTTCGTGCTGCTGGTTTCACGCATAGTTGCATTGCCAGTAATTTGAGCCTCAAGGAGCGTGGCGATGGCTGACCACTTCAGCCGGGATAGAGTTTTTTGTTCAGATTACCTCATGTTGCATAAAAAGAAAATACCTTATCAAAGAAACTTCTGCAAGGTCGAAGACATCGGCCTGTTTGCCCTCCAGAAGCTTTTGCCGAAAGCTGCCCGCCATGCACATAACAACGACCACGTCTGCCAGAACTGCTTCAGACGCCTCAGAGATATGCTGTCTTCGTCTAATGGCTTCTCAGTTTTTGCCGGAAGAAGAAAAAGGCAGAAGTCAGGAACTCAATGAAATCTAAAATATCAACTTTTTGGCCCGTGTCGATCTCTCGTGGATTGGATTGGATAAACTTTTATTGATCTCTCGTGGAATCACCCAGTAATAAGCAATTACATACCGTGGTGTAGCTTCATCACTGTTCTTATTTATTGTTCGTATTGTTTGTATTTATTCCTTTATTTCATATTGTGTTATACAGACGTTCGTGAAGCGGTTGAGTGTAAATGGAAAATGAATTCTTTATTTTGTATTCATTTTTTTTGCTTAGTTATTTTGCTGCATGTTGCATATATGTACGGGTAGCAGGAGCTCTGTCAAGCAGCGAGTAAGCAGCCTTTTCTCTTGCCACCATTTTTTTTGTTACGAAAAAAAAGGAACATGATTGATTCATTAATGATTGATTGATTCGGTGGTTACTTGGAAAATTGTCGCAGGGGTCCTCTAAGAGTGATCGACTGGATTCAAAGAGAAGGCCAATGTACGATGGTGGGGAGGGGCGAAAATTAGGTGGGCAGAGAAGATTAAGAAGGAGGCTAACTGGAAGGACAGGGAGGTTAGCGAGTTGCTAGACCGGCTGGAAACCCTGTGCTGAGTAAAGAGGTAAGGATAATAAAACATGTAAGAAGGATATAACGCTTAGGGGAGTATCACAGCCACGAGAAGCACTTGGCCGTGTCAATGGAAGATGCGTGGGAAAGGCATTTGTGCTTCAGTCGGCGTGATGATTATGATGATGATAATGATGATGATGATGATGATGATGACAGTGCGGGTTGTATGGGAGTGAACAGGGGCGGCGAGCGATTGGAGAACGCGGCGCAAAGGGGCTCTGCAAGAATATCCCAGCTGGCATCCACTGCTGGAATGTGAATATAGTGTTGATGAGTTGCTGTATACCAGGACAGCCATTGCCCTTTGTGGCTACGCACAACCTCTTGCAATCAGCCCCCTTGTTGAAAAGCATAAGATGTTACGTTTTGAACGGACGAACCAAGATTATTTGCGCATTGCATTTTACAGTTCATGCAAATCTTGTATACCACGTGGCCCGTGCCAAAAGCGCAAACAAGTCGAGTGTGGTCCGCTGCAAATACCCATGAATAAGAAGCGTGGAAGCCCAGCAAACCCTGTAGATATAGGTAAAATGACACGACTGCTACTGCGAATGGAAACACTGAAATGCAGGGAAAAGCTCTCCTAGCAATTGAAAGTTTACTTGGAAACGACGTCCCTCACATATACAGGGTGTCCTACATAACTTGAGTCAAGGATTTGAAAGTAAAAGGCACTTAGGGGGCGAATTGAACCAAACGCATACAACTCTCACAAGCCTGTAGGTACTCAGGCTATTTTTTATTGCTCCCCATACTAATTATTTAACAGTTCTTAATTACTTATGATTTTATTTATGGGCTGGAAACCCAAAATATGAACACTGAAATGTAGAGTACTTTCAGAAACCATCGACTAAATTGTTTCCTGTACTATACGTCTCGCGCTGTTATTTTTACACGTTGTGAAGAAAGCCCGCCAAACGTGAAAAGAAGCCGTGTGACGGACCGCGAGCGCACTGCTGTAGTGCTGCTATAAGCTTTCTTTGAGATTTCAGATCGGCGTCCCATCCCCTATCACCTCTCCTCTCATGTGCTCCCCCTCTTCTCTCATGCGCTCCTCCTCACCTGCCTCGCAACCCCGACGCAGGTAGTGTACACTAACCTACGCATTCTAGCCACTGTACCTGCGCTAGAGTGACCTATGTCACTCAACTTACGCTCGCTCTCCCCTCTCCTCTAGGCATTCCTCAAGGCACTGCGCTGCCTCAAGGCAGACAGGAATTAGGTGCCTTCTTCCTTCTTCAAGAAGCACTACCACCACTGTTACTCCCCGTGGTGTCTCACAAAGGCGACGCAAGCTGCATCTGCTAGCGAGTTTCTCGATTAAAAAACAAAACAAAAAACGACTGCTCATGCTGCACAAGCACGATGCCCCGCATCATCCCATTGTCCCCTTCGGGGAGATGCCTTCACTTTTTTTTTCTTACTAAGGGGGACTGGCCAAGAAGACAGTGGTTGATGCAAATTCAATATTAAGGTGTATGCTAGGGAAAAGGAAACACGGGCTATTTGATGATAATGATGACCTCATGTGTATGGCGCTCACCCACAAAGAGGAATTCCGGGCCAAGAGCCGGGTGACGGGATGGGTAGAGTAACAGACTGTGAAACTCAAACCAATGAAAAAATAGGTTAGAGATAAACCTATTTACTTTTAGCCGTACACAGCATCCACCGACTTCTTCATTCTCAGCTTCTACCACCACTAGCGCGTGGCAGTACTGTGCCGTGTGCATAGGTAGGCCATTTTTCTGTTTCCAGAAGAGTGGTTCTCAGTAGCAGGTCGAGACGTGTTCATCGGGACAAGACGTGTTCGAGCCTGAGCAATGAAGGTGGAAGTGGCCAGCAAGCGCAAGAGCATCCTGGGCGAGGGACCTCACTGGGACGAGCGTAGCGGCACCCTGCTTTATGACGACGCCCGTGGCCCAGTGGTGCTCCGCTATGACCCGAAGACCAAGACCGACACCGAGATTCTTAAGCTAGGTAGGGTTGTTCTGCAGTTCTTCAATACCTGCAAAGGCGTGTGTCCTATCTGTTGTATAGTTGCTGCATTAAGCATTTCGTTACGTGATAGAACCACGGCATGCTCTTTAATTTAAGGGGGGGGGATAATGTGGTAACGTAATTCTGGTTTGAAAACTGGTTCTCTGGTCCCTAGGAGGCACACTGCCTTTGTATATAATGCATGTACATAGTATTGAATGTCCGACGGGGTATCGGCTCCTACTCTCCTCCTTCTCGGCTGGCGCTACGGGCGCCGGACTCCTGGTCTCCATCGCATCGCGTATGACGCACGATAAAGCAGTATCAGAGAACGCCGCCATACTCGCAAATTGGAAGCCTTTGAATGGAAGAGTAATACTGTTGATAAAAGAGTTACAGTAACGCCGCAAAGGCGAAGCAATTACCGCGATAGCAACCGATTGGAATTTCACACGTAGAATGAATAGCAAACAACATGTTTAGCAAACATGACCAGCGGCTGCTGCAGCGAGCTACCGTCGTGCGATCAGCGGGTTCAATGCCGAGATTGCAAGGAAAGCACTATAGCTACAGAATAATGAGCTATCTCTAGAACCCCTTCCAAGGAATAAGCTCACTGGCGTGGGCGATCGCGGCCTGTAGGTGAAGCTACGAAGCCGGAGGCACGCAGTCACACAGCTTATAGGAACACCATGGGTAAAGTGACGTTAAGCGTACGTTTTAACCCCTTACGCCATTTCGTGAGTGCCAGTTAAAAAAACCTCTGCCACAGCGAAGCAACTCGGGGATCTGCGAACAGCCAGCAGTAAATGACTGTGTAAATAGCCCACCATAAGTACGCTGGAGAATCTATGCGTTTGTCGCCAAATGGGCGAACGCGCCCCCTCCCGGATTGATCCGTCGCAATCTCGAATCCTCGCTCACGTGGCCCGGAAAAACCTTGTAGCAACAAGAATGTTCTCTTAGAGATGCTTGGTGTTATATTTGCCAAAGCAAAGGTTCCGTGTATATATATGTGGAACGTCACGGCGGCGAAAGCGGGGCCGATGGCCGAAAGGTCAGTATACTCCTGTTCGCATGCATCAGCACTGATGGCCGAAAGGTCAGTATACTCCTGTTCGCATGCATCAGCACTGCTCTTTTTGCCTTTTGTTCCTATTGTTCCTTTTTGGCTATATGCTGCATCGGTGTTATCCACCATATCTATATATATCTTCGTCAATAAGAACATACTAACGAAGAGACAATATGGCTTTCAAAGCTCAAATCAACTTGTCAACTGAGCAGGCACTCACATTTATAAAAGATAAAACAATAAATTTTATTCAGAACAGAAAACATATACTTGATTTGTTTTTAGACTTTAAAAAGTTGTTCGACAGCATTTATCATGGCATGCTGCTTAACAAACTGTCCAGGTATGGCATACGTGGCACGGCGTTAAACCTAGTTGACAGCTACTTAAAAATTGTTTTTAATTAGTCAAGGTAAATAACATCACTTCTTCCAAACAAATGAAAACTCGAGGTGTCCCACAGGGGTCAGGACACCTTTTATTCTTGCTTAATGTAAATGTTCTAGGAAATATTCGTGATTATCCTGAAATATTCATGTTTGCGAACGACGCAATCGTATTCTTTGTATGTAAATAGCTAAAAGCACCTGAGTCAAAAGGTAATGATTATTTATCATCTTTATCATGCTGGCCAAGGGGAAATTGAATGCAGTTTAACGCAAAAAAAAGACTACGCACGCGATATTTCACGCAGTGCATAAAATGATAAATACCGCGTTGAGCATTACACTTGAAGGGGAGTGTATCAATAGAGTCGCAACGCAAAAATTTCTTGATGTATATTTGAAGAGCACCTATCCTGGAATGCACATATCAATAGCCTAGCAGTGTAATTGACAAAATCTGTCCGATGTTTATACAGAGCTGCTGCTTTAATCCCTGCAATCCCTGAAAACAATTTATTATGCTCTGTTTTACTTAAATTTATGCTACGGAAATTAACTATGGGGACGATAACACCAAACAACTATAATAAATTAGTAGTACTACGAAAACGTTCACTACGCTGCTTTCATCAAAACTGGGGCAACGCACAGGATTTAAGAACACAACCGTTATTTGTAAAGCATGATATGTTAAGCGCTGATCAAATGTTCTATTTCAAGTTATTTCAATTATCACATCGTAAAAATATATCACTAACGACAAAAATGAACCAACGTACTGCTTTGGAGCACAAAAGCAACACATCCCAATAACACGAACAGATTATGGTAAGCAAACTATGAAATATCAAACCATGTCTCTTCTTAACCGATTGAAAGAAGATTTGGATATCAATGTTAGTTCGTGTATTAAAAAAACAACTAGAAAGTAGTAATAAATAACGCGCTCACTCCAAGGTTGTCAATTTAAAATACATGCTCTTTCCTATTTTGTGTGTAAATATGATTTTTTTTCTGTATAATGACATGTCGTACAACGTTTAGATAAACTTGTGTCTTACACTTTTTGTTCATTTTTTATTTATTTTGAATACAAATATTGTATTTCGTGAAATGTACTAGCTGGTATACGCTAACATTCTAATTTTTTTACATCTGTACAAAAGAACGTTTTTTTTTAGTTTGGTCACTGGGCATTGTGAACTGTTTTTTGTTTGTCTTTTTAAATCTACATTCAACCAAAAAATTGTATGCTACGAAAAATTTTCTGTGCATGCTGTTTACTATTCTTGTAAAACCAGTACAGAGGCCTTTCGTCAGGTATTGCTATACCTTTAGCTTCTGTACCGTCTTTCACGTAATTCAAGAAAACTAAAGAATACGAGTATATATACATGTATATATCTTTCATACAACTCAGTTCGCTCCGAATACTGCCTATTCCCAAGCGGGAGGCGGAAATGTTGTAGGCCCGTGCGCTCAGATTTGGGTGCACGTTAAAGAACCCCAGGTGGTTGAAATTCCCGGAGCCCTCCACTACGGCGTCTCTCATAATCATATGGTGGGTTTGGGACGTTAAACCCCACAAATCAATCAATTCCCAAGTGGCTTCAGCTCACAGTGCCCTCGCTGCGGGGGAAACATGCAATTTCGAGCACTTTCTTGGCCGGTGCCCCTCGTGGTGCAGGTATGACATCACGTAACAGGAACGGAGATAGGTCCTCCAGAGCTCGGAATGTCAATAAACAATTGTATCGGGCCAGTTGGTAAGGATCCATCTTGCTAGGAAGCGCAGCCACTATTACACAGAACACACAACGTAAGCGCTTGTGTTGTGTGTTCTGTGTAATAGTGGCTGCACTTCCTAGCAAGTCAGAATGTCAGCCTCAACTTTAGGCTGGCCAGAGAGCCTGGAATGCGGCGGTTCGGCTTAGGTCTAACTGTCCCCACGTGGGAGCGGCGTGCGGGGTTGCCCTTAGCTTTGGCACTTCTCCGGGTCCTTAAATAAAGTTATTGGGACCGCACATCCTGTTGTGAAGGTTCGTTACGCGAACATCAAGGTGGCTCCGCCATTTATACTTTCCTGTCAAGCGTCTACTGACAAGCATGCTCTCACAGCTAGAAGGCTGCTTTGGTTAGGAACGGATACGAGAAAAATTTGTTCTGTCATTCTGTTCAGCGTGCCTTTAGTGAGCTGCCAGCTTTTACGCATGCGCAGACCACGAGATCGGCAACATGATCCCGTACGCCGAGGACAACCGCAAGCTGGTTGTGTGCATGGGCAACGGCGTCTACAATGTGGACTTGCACGCCAACAAGACCACGTTGCTGACCGAGATGCTGGACAAGGACGCCCCCGGCCCCACGCGCATCAACGACGGCAAGTGTGACGCCATGGGTCGACTCTGGGCAGGTCAGTATCCGTGTGTGACATATATTAACAACAACGTACAAGTAGTGGCCACGTCGTACGCATACGGTGTCGTCTTGCGAAAATTGACGTCAGATGACGCAGCCCATGTTCTTCTAACGTGTTTTACCCTGTGCCATTTACCCTTTACCTAAATGTTCGATGGCTTACACTGACATCACTGAAACCGTAAATTAGGGGCACAGCATCACACACGGAGAATTTGTGACGTCACTTTAACGCTATCGTTACATCATTCGCAAGTTATGTTGTTAACGCACAGACGCCAAACGAATTCTTGCCCCCTCATCATCAAATTGAAGCAGGTTGTTATCTTGTTCAGGCGAACTTAAGGGCTTGTTTTATTTTTTGTTAGCTTCCTAAGGCCTAGAATAAATTAGTGCCTCCATTTTTTTTCTAATTTGGACCAACGTTTCCTGAGTGCAAAGGTAAAAAGTGTCACGTAGTTTTTCAATATATAGTGTTACTTGGCCGCCGCACATTGTCCATTATATTGGACGTTGAGATTGTAAGGTGACATATTGAGGGAACTGAGAGTATGGCGAGGTGGAGGCCGGTTACCGAGAAAAAGACATTTTGTAACAAAAATTACCTTTACTGGCTTCTTGGAATCCGAGAAAACAATTAGTAATGGTAATATTTTCTCAACCGTAGCGTCACTCACCCGGGGCCTTGTACCTACAAAGCAAAAAATACGCGATTTTAAATGTAAAAAAGCAGAGAAGTGCAGTGAAAAATGTATTACACTATGTAGTGCACCAAAAGTACAGACGAGCGTACTGTCATATGTTTTTGTTGTCATGAAGACCCAATGTTCATTATATTGTGCATTGTCAAATACGCAGCTACACGAAACAACTACCCCGTTTTTTGCTCAAATATTAATTTCTTTGTGGGCTTCAATGTCTCACAAACAGAACTATAAGTGTTTAAATACTCTTTAAAACATCAAAGAGTGAATATAAATTGACCTACTTCTGAGGCGGCAGCCGCAAAAGTCGATCGTGTTCAATCCCGTCATTTCGAGTGCTCCTGAGCGGCGTGATATGCATCGAGTTTGATTGTATTCGCTAGATGGCAGTATAAGCAGTCGAGAAAACGCTTTCCTGGAGGAGGCAAGCGCTATGAAAGCCGTGGTGCGCCGTGTTACAAAGTTCAATATATTGGACGAATTTCCCCTTGCCGGGTCCGAATAGATAAGACGCTACAATAATGTGAACAGACAAAAGTGCCAGGGAAAGTGTAGGGGATGCCATTAGAAATAATCGTAGTTTGAATGAGAAAAAAAGAAAGGTGGACAAAATCATAAAAGTTCGGATCCTGCCACTGGCAAGATCCGAACGTGTGACCTTCGAATAACACGTTAGAAAGCATCAGACGTGTTATTCCTTTATCCCGTGTGTACATTCTCTGGCATTATTTTCTGTTGGTTCTAAAAAATATTATTATCCCGTTAGCCTCACCTGTCCGTCTCTGGTTTTATCGTGACAGTCCTTGTTTTGGGCTGCGCTGTAAACCTCTGATCACGAATCACCGGTTCACTCGACCTCTCTGCTAAATCCGGTTTTGTCTCGAAGATATATGGAGAATCAGAGCTCGCATAGTGATCCAAGCACGAGGGCAAGAGTAAGATGGGTGGCGGGTAACGAGAGTTGCTATCAGATGCCCCACCCGTCATGGTGGTCAAGTGGCTAAGGCAGTCGGCTGCTGACTCGCAGGTTGCGGAATCGAATCCCTGCCATGGCGGTGGCATTTTTGATGGAGCCGAATATGCTTCAGGCTCATGTACTCAGATTTAGGAGCGCGTTGAAGAACCTCAGGTGGTCGAGATTTTCTGAGCCCACAGCTACAGCGTCTCTCAGAATCATATCGCGGATTTGAGACCTTCAACCACGACGATTATTATCAGCGGTCCCAGTGAGAAAACTGGAACATGTTTCTTTATACTTCTGAAACAAGCTCGCTAAGTTGCACAGAAGGCTGAGGCGTTACATTTCTCGCAGTGTATGCGCGCTCCGTTTCGAAAAATCAATTATTTCTGCACTTTACTACTGCGCATCTCCGGTACACTTCACCCGTGAATGGGTGTAATGTTGCCCATGGACAGTATTAAATAGCGCCGACTTCGCCGAATTGTCCTCTGGACCACGATACGGCGCCTTGGGCGCTCAGCTGATTAGCATGTCGCGTACTTGTTTACCTCACGTGTTCCTGCCACCGCTCTTCTTTTACCGCGCCTCTTTTACACGTTGAGGAAATCTCTCTCAGTCATTGGCTGCAGTAATCGCTGACGTCATCGTGTGTTGTCAACGTGGTCGTAGCCACTATGACGGTATACGCCTAAAAAGTATACGTGCAGCGGGGAAGGTTGGCGACGCCAAGCGACAACCATTCGAAATGGTTGTTTGAGCCCCTGTAACTCAATCATTTCTACACATCGGCTGCTGACCCGATGGTAACAGGCTCGATGGGTCACATTTGGATGGAGGCGAAACGGTACAGGCTTGTGTACTGTGCGTTGTCGGTGCAGAACACCAGATGGTCAATATTTCAGGATAACACGTACAGAATAATTTCGCAACATGTTAACATAGTGCAACTGCGTAGATATCTCTCCATCACAAGTTTAAACAGAAGTCTTTCGTCTACCAAAGTAGCGCATGTGAACGCCAGTGTCATGCCAGTGTCAATTCATTAATTTGTAAGGTTTAACGTCCCAAGACCACCATATGATTATGAGAGATGCCGCAGTGGAAGGCTCCAGAAATTTCGACCACCTGGGGTTCTTTAACGTGCGCCCAAGTCTGAGCACACGGGCCTACACCATTTCCGCCTCCATCGGAAATGCAGCCGCCGCAGCCGGGATTCGATCCCGTGACCTGCGGGTCAGCAGCCTAGTACCTTAGCCACTAGACCACCGCGGGGCTACATAATATTGACGTGTTGTTAGTGTGCCTCGGATATTCGCAGTAATTGCTTTTTAATTGGCCATTCCACAAGTATGAACGCTGAAACTTTAGCAATAGTGGTGGACGCTGCAGATCAGGTTGGATTTTGGCCGTTTGGGATATCGTTTCGGTGGAAAATTCAGCAAGTGTTACAGAGAGACAGACAGACAGACCAAAATTTTTGCGTCGAAGCACCCCCCCCCCCAAAAAAAAAAGACTGTCGTCTGTAAAAAGAAGTTTTATCATAGCGTATGATTCGCTCAATGTTGCAGGTACGATGCCTACAAAGGTCGACCTCAAGGGAATGGTGCAAGGCAAGAATAACCTCTGGTCTTTCTCCAACGGAGAATTGAAGCACAAGCTGGACAAGGTATCCCTCTCCAACGGAATCACCTGGACGGTTGACAACAAGACCATGTTCTACAACGACTCTGTGCCCGGAAAGCTGCTCGCTTTTGACTTCGACCTCATATCAGGGGATATCAGTGAGTGCCCTTTCTCCGAGTTTTCTTTTTCGGGTTAGATTGATGGCCGAACTCCGAACACTCATGCAAGATTACAAACAGAACTGAAAAGGATGACCTTTCATTCACAGAGAAGCTCGTTATATAGTTCGATGGCAGCGTAGTGCGTCAAAAGTTTTCCGCTGGCCAGTGTACACAAGGTGGCTTTCGAAGGTGCTTCGGTCGCATGCGCGTTTTTTTTTTTTAGATGCTGTTGTACGCGTCAGTAGTCTACGTTTTGTTTTAGGCATCCGACAGTGGACCAGAGGGCGCGACGAAGCTTTTCGGGCCGTCTCAGCAGTTGGTACCGACCACCAGGGATACCAAGTAAATGAAACTCTCGCTGAACACATTGACACGCTGAAGTGTCATTGTCCTTTTTGGCACGTTTTCAAAGAACGCTTCCTGCGCGCTTACATAATCAGCCGTGACCCCCTGCTCTCAACTAAAGAAGAAAAGAACATGCACGGGCAAGTCCGGTATTGCTGCGTCTACACGCATTGGAAGACTCAGTTTTGCTGCGCCTACTCGCTAGGCTGTGTGCTGGCGCTACCATCAGATCTTGTAAACGGCATTGCCGGGTGCCTATAGGTGTACCCTTCGTTTAGTCGTATATTGAGGGCACACGCGGGGAACATCGCGCACTTTTTTAACTGGGACGCACGCAACATGTAGTCATGGTTGTTGTTCACGTTCGGTCTTAGTGTGAAGGTACCCGCGGGTGCGTGCTGCAGGCAGCCGTAATCTATGACATCAAATAGTGTAGCCAAACATTTTCGGAGGGGAGGGGAGCGAGAAGGAAATTTTACTTTATGTACAACTTCAACGCGACAGCGTTAAAGAGCTCTTTTCGCATAAATTCCATTGTCGTGGGTTGTGAGCGAAAAAAGCATCTTATAACGCGTGACCGAAATATCAAGAACGATGCAAATAAAATAAAGGACAAAAAAATGCTGGGTCAGAGTGGGGACCAAACCAGGGTCGTTTGGGTTAGAGTGGGGATCGAAGCCGGGTTGTTTGCGTGGCGAGCAGATGTTCTACGACACGACGACGTTGCTGCTTGTGAATACAGGGGAAAGAACTTCCTCAGCTTGGAAATGCAGTGAAAGTAGCTTTCAAGCTTTACAAACACACGAATCCTTATACATGGTTCACAATGCAACATATAGTAACGCGTGGTACAAGCGCCAGCTACCAGCAGCTGTCAGAACATGTGATTACCACTGCAAAAGGCCCACACGCTACTGCGCCTATATATTTTCTTAAGGCCACGTAATGGGTGTAGAGAAAGTTCGAAAAGGTTCCAACCACTAAATGTTTGAAGCCCGCACTAGAAACATGTCTACTTCAAACTGAAGTATACATGTCGGAGCTTGTTTGTGTCATTCCACATGTTATGAGCGGCAACGAAGTCATAGTGGACTAGCCAATCTTCAACATCCTCATGGACAGCACCATGAAAGGGATTCGGCATTTGTGGTTTGAACAGCGTATAGTGCATTGGCGTTGCGCCTTCCATACCGGCTGGGTTGGGGCCGCTTAGGACGGTGCTGCCTGCTATAGCTGGGGCCGTCATCCTGTCTGGGAGAAGTCCGAATTCCGGGTCCAGTCCATGGATCCTTCGACTAGCACGGTGAACAGGCGTAACCACCGGTACGGGGCTGGAGCTTCTTGTACCAGGAGGGGTTCGGTGCATAGGGTACCCAGCACCTCGACCAGTTGTCACGCGCTATAGGAGCTCGAACAAACGTACAAGGAGTTGCCACTGTCAAAATCTCAGACGCAAAGAAGGACGTCTCCGCTGGCACAGGTTGCTCGTCTTCGTCTCCTTTGTTCACCGGCACAGAACTGGCTCGATATTTACTGGCACAAAACACCAGGTGGCAATATCGCTATCGCGTTCAACTACTGAAGGTGAAGCTTTATATGGTTCTCTAATTTTTAATTGATGTGGTTTAACTTCCCGAAACCACCATCTGATTAGGAGAGCCGCCGTGTTGTAAGGCTTCGGAAACGTTGATCTGGGGTTCTTTAACGCGCTGCCAAGTCTAGGTGCATAAGCCTTCTCGTCTCCGTTGAAAACGTGGCTGCTGCGGCTTAGGTTGGGTCTTGCGACCTGCGGGTCACCAGTCGAGTAACTTGACCGCCAGGTACTCTATGCATGTTCATTCGTGGGTTTGTACGCTGTTAGGAAATTGGGTTTGATGGCATCCCACCGTTGCGACCACTGTTATGAACTCGCTGTCTTGCGATGGTAGCAGTAGCCAGGATCGGCGAACAGCCAAACCGACGCCGTTGAATCCTTCGCCCAGAGGCACAAATAGGGAGGTAATTGTTTTGGAAAACAAAACAGGTATGAACGTTTATAGCAGCCTATAGTTTGTACAGTGCCAGCCAGCACGACGGCGTCGGCTGGGGCAAAATCTCCAAACATCAGGCCGGCACGGTCTTAAATAACGTTTTGGTCTCATCTCTGAGACCAGTTCCCGGGGCTCGGCGGAGGAGACGCAGCTTTCCCCGGAACTGTACATGGCACGGCGGCGTCTGCGTGGAAGGTAGCGCTGGGAGGGGGAAGCGGGGTAGTTTGTCGAAACTGCGCTCGTTTTCGTGGGAAGAAACGCTCCCGAACGAGGACCAAGTCTCGGGCATAACAACGCGTGTAAAGTTAAAAACTATCCGGGAAACTGGCCCCTTTCCTCCTGGCGGCTTGGCTACGCATAATGTAGGCCTCTATCATACACCGTGGCCTGTATTCACAAGGCAACCTCATGCTTATCCCAGGTTTTTCTTATCGATTTTAAGCCCTTATTGCACTTGATCAACCAAGCAGACGACAATTCATGATACTATCTTGTTATCTTTTACCCGGTTGCCACTTCTGCGCCACTATAGCGCATGTAGTGTGTAAGGAAACGGGAGGTAAGGCCCGTGTTGGTTTGTGAATATGGGGTCGTAGTGTTACGCAGTGTAATGGTAGCCGGAAGTGCACCCTCGACTAATGAACATCGTAGTGCTCATGAGAAGGGGCAGGTGGGGCGCCCCTAATCGCTGAAAGAAAAGGGGGGGGGGGCGGGGGTGCAAAGCGCAACCTATAGTTTTACAGAGTCGAACCTGTCCCATCATAGTGCCACGCTCCTTTCTCACGTTTTGTGATCACAACATTACACGTGCAAGTGCTGCCTTGCGCAACTACGCCGTTTGACTTAAGAATCATCGAAATAATCGCAGAAACTTGCGAGGCAATTATGCGCACAAGGGAATATTACAAATTCTTCAGGAACTTGAGTGGCCGATAGCGATAGTTCTGCAATATTGGACGGCACATGTATAAATGCCGACGCGCCTCATCACTTGTCAGTTGATCGACGGCCGACGCTCCGTTCGCCGCTATCAGTGTCAGTGTCTCGCTGTAATCCGACTTTCTGTTATCCAGCCACAAGATCGGCCAAACAAGGACTCACAGGCTACGACCTGGGTCACGTCACCTCTCCGTGACAATAAAAACACAGATAAAAATGAATTAGAGACAGCAAAGATAATCTAATGCTAGTGACAGGTTTGCTATACCCTGTCGAGGGCTGGCAAAATAGGGGTCGGAAAGAGGGGTGAAAGAGAAGTAAAGGAGAAAACCATTCTGTTTTCGTAAACGCGAAAATAAGGCCCATGCACAAGTATGGCGTTCCCAAAATTACATTGTTCGGAGTATGCAGCTTCATTAAAGCGTAATTTGTTTCATGTTTGGCTATAAACAAATAATTACTTGTGCCCATGAAGACGCCACCATAGACTATGTATGACTTCATTACTAGATTGGTCTGGAACCTTAAGTGCCACGTTTGAGTTACGTCGCAACTAGCCCGACTTTCACCACCTCACACTTGTGTTTTCTATTCGCACTTTTTCTGTTTCACCCAAACTTTTCGGTCCTAATGAAAGTTTGAATTTAAACGTAACAGAGAAGCTGAATGCTCAAAAAATACTAAATTCACTTCATATTGTTACGGGGAGAAGGCGTCTGAAAAAATACCTTTATTCTGGTAAACAGGCAGGCATACAATATGGAGCCCGGTCTGCACGAGCTCGCCCTAAACATCGTCCTCTTTTCTACAATGTTCATTTGTGGCACCCCGTAGCATCGCTCCCGGCGGCGAAGGCACCGTCTCGGTGCTTGGTTGGTCTGAGTAATATCGTTTCAGCCGAGTGACGTGAACAACGTCAGAACACGATCGCGCGCTAGTGGCGTTAAGAGGTTCAATTTCATATGTCACGTCGGTGACTTGGCGCACCACACGGTACGGACCCGAGTAGGGTGAAGTCAGCTTTTCGCACAGGCCAACTCGCCGCGACGGCGTCCAGAGAAGGACTGTGTCACTTTGACTGAAATGGACATCACGATGGCACGCGTTGTAGACCTGTCGTTGTCGTTCCTGCGAATCGCTCAGACGCCGGCGAGCAATCTCACGTGCGTCTAGAGCTCTAGAAATCACATCGCAGGCATATTCTGACGTGTGGCTAACGGCAGGAAAGAGTGCGTCGAAAGGCAACGTAGGTTCTCGTCCGTACATGAGGAAAAATGGCGAGAAACCTGCAGTGTCATTCCGAGACGTATTATACGCAAATGTTACAAATGAAAGGGCGAAGTCTCAGTCACGATGGTCGGAAGAAACGTACATGGCGAGCATGTCCGTGATGGTTCTATTTAGCCGCTCCGTGAGCCCGTTCGTTTGAGGATGATACGCCGTTGTGAACTTGTGCTTTGTAGCGCAAAAGTGTAATATGTCTTGGATAACTTGGGATAAAAATTAACGACCCCTATCGGTAAGCAGTTGCCGAGGAGCGCCGTGGTGTAATATGACGTCTTCTAGAAGAAAGTCAGCGACGTCGGTCACACAACTGGTAGGAAAGGCCCGCGTGATGGCATACCGAGTGGCGTAATCCGTGGCGACTGCTATCCGCTTGTTTCCGCTGGCCGATAAAGGGAACGGTCCTAGTAAGTCAACACCTACCCTATAAAATGGTTCGGATGGGATCTTAATGGGCTGAAGGCGTCCCGCTGGAAGGGTTGCTGGTTTTTTGCGGTGTTGACAGGATTTGCATGAGGCGACGTAACGGCAGACGGATCGGTAAATACCGGGCCAAAAGAAGCGAAGTCGAACGCGGTCATAAGTTCTTGAAACTCCCAGGTGACCAGCTGTCGGAATATCATGCAACTGTGCAAGGACAGTCTGACGCATATGTTGTGGTATGACCAACAGCAGCTCAGGTCCGTCAGGATGCATGCTGTAGCGATATAAGACGCCATCTTGGAGCAGGAACATACGGAGAGACGGAGAAGTGGTGGGACCACTAAGCCGAAGGATTATATCTCTGAGGTGACGATCATGGCGTTGCTGATCTCCGATGTTGCTAAACGCGGAAAGTGCCGAAACGCAAGTAGACTCATCGCTCTCAGAAATGTCTGCTGGGTCTACTGGATGACGCGACAAGCAATCAGCATCCTCATGGTGGCGACCTGATTTGTAGACAACCATGTAGGAATATTCCTGTAGCCGTAGAGCCCACCGGCCGAGACGTGAACTAGGATATTTTAAGGACGACAACCAGCATAAGGCGTGGTAATCAGTGACAACCGTGAACGGGCGTCCATACAAATACGGCCGAAATTTAGCCACTGCCCAGACGAGTGCGAGGCATTCGCGTTCTGTGATAGAGTAATTTTGCTCTGCTGGCGATAAAAGACGGCTAGCGTATGCAATAACGCACTCGCAGTCAAGCTGTCGTTGTGCCAAAACAGCTCCGATTCCGTGGATGCTGGCGTCGGTATGCACTTCCGTTGGAGCGCATATATCAAAGTGGCCGAGAATCGGTGGCGTCGTAAGTCTACTCGTCAGTTCAACGAATGCTCTGGTTTGTTCAGGTCCCCACACAAAAGCCACATTTTTTTAGTAGTTCCTTGAGCGGGCGTGCGACGTCAGCAAAATTCCGCGCAAATCTACGAAAGTAAGATCAAAAGCCCACAAAGCTTCGAACATCGTTCGCAGAGGTCGGCACAGGGAAATCTTTGACGCCGCAGATTTTCTCAGGATCGGGACGAACACCAGAAGAATCGACAAGGTGTCCAAGGACAGTGAGCTGCTGGCGGCCGAAGTGACATTTCGACGAGTTTAGTTGGAGCCCTGCTTTGCAAAAAACCGAAAGAATTGTTGAGAGACGCTCGAGGTGAGTTTCAAAAGTTGGGAAAAAACAATGACGTCATCAAGGTAGCATAAGCAGATTGACCACTTGAAACCATGAAGAAGAGCGTCCATCATTCGTTCGAATGTAGCCGGGGCATTGCATAACCCGAACGGCATTACTTTGAATTGATAGAGCCCGTCGGGAGTTATAAATGCCGTCTTTTCACGGTCCAGATCATCAACTGATATCTGCCAGTACCCGGAACGATGGTCGACGGAAGAGAAATAATTTGCTCCACTAAGGCAGTCAAGAGCGTCGTCTATCCACGGCAGAGGATACACGTCTTTTTTTGTAACCTTGTTAAGATTTCTGTAGTCGACACAGAAGCGCCAGTTGTTATCCTTCTTTCTCACAAGCACAACGAGCGAAGCCCGAGGACTTGAAGAAGGTTCAATGATGTCTCGGGCAAGCATCTTGTCGACTTCTTGCGGAATCACGTGGCGTTTGGTAGAGGAAACCCGATAGGGTCGCCGGTGTGCTGGATTTGCATCACCGGTGTTGATCCGATGCTTTACGACGGTCGTTTGACCTAGGGGTCGGTCACAGAGATCAAAGACGTCTTGATACGACGCAAGAAGGTCACGAAGCGCACACATACTCGGCTGGGAGATCAGAGGCAATCATTCCAGTTATGCAGTCTAGTGTACTGCGCGACTGAATACTTGCAGATGACGGTGTATCCTCTGTTAAGGCCGATATGTGGTAGTCGCCGGCCGGGGCAAGGGTTGCAAGGGATATTCCTCGTGGCAGCACTTCAGAGCGAAGTCCAAAGTTCACAATAGGGAGACATGCCACGTTGTTTTTCATTGTGATGATGGTGTGGGGGAACGCAACATCGAGCGAACAGCGTACTGTAGGATTAGGTGAGATGACATAATCGCCGTCAGCCACAGGTGAATCAGAAGAGACGTCGATATACGTCACAGCTCGACAAAATAGGCGAACAAAGTCAGCGGAGCATAGCTTTGGCGGCGCAGGATCAGGAGGGTCAACGGCGTGTGGTAGGACGAGCTGAACAACACCAGCAGAACAGTCAATTAGGGCGGAATGCTCCGACAGAAAATCGAGTCCCAAAATGATGTCATGTGGGCAGTGGTCCAGTACGTAAAACAGAACAGTGGTATGACGTCCAGCAACAGTGACACGGGCGGCACACATCCCGGTGACCGCTGGTGTTGCACCATCAGCTACTCGAACAAGAGTGATCGGAGTAGGAGTGAGCACTTTCTTGAGTCGAGCACAGAGGCCGGAGTTGATGACTGATATGTGAGCGCCGGTGTCAATCAGTGCTGCCACAGAAGTACTGTCAACATTTACATTAATCAAGTTGTTGTGTCCGGGTATCGTGTGTAGAGAAATTTCGGGTCGGGTCGTCGAAGCAGGCTCACCTCTGAGAGCTGCGCCCGTAAGTTTTCCGAGGGCTGGTGGTAGGAGGGTGAGGGGGAGCGACGTCGGTTAGTTGAGCGGGACATGCGTCCAGAGGGCGACGGGAAGCGGCTTGGTTGGGCGGGCCTGGATGGCGAAGCATCATCTTGTGCCGTGTAGATCGGCATCCGAGAGCCAGCAGGTGGGCGTCGGGTGTTGGCATAATGCGACCATGGCTGCCGACCCCAGGAAGTGCGGCAATGACGTGAAATATGGCCGACTCGTCCACAGTTGAAGCAGATCGGCCTGTCATCGGAAGTTCGCCATTCTGCCGGGTTCCGGTAACGTGGGCGGTTGTTCGGTCCGCGGGACATATTAGGTGTACTGGGCAGTCGGTAGTCAGGTCGGTTTACGGGGCATAGCATCTGAAGTCCGGCGTTGGCCAGTTCCTAGCGTACGACACTCTTGATCAAAGAAATCGTGGCGCGAGAGTCGTCAGGGGCCTGGACTTTGTCAGACAGGGGAGATGCTGCCTCGATTTTGTGGCGCACGATGCGCACGATATTGTCGGAAGCGGCAGCAGCTGGTGCCAAACGGGTGTCCTCGCAGGTTGATGTTGCAGTCGTGTTGGGAAGACGCGAAAAGTGTGGAGTGATACGGTGACTTTTCGCGTCTTCGAAGCGTCGGCATTCATTAATAACGTCGTCTACGGTCGATGAGTTTCGAAATACGAGGAGATTGAATGCGTCATCGGCGATTCCTTTGAGGATGTGCGCGACCTTTTCAGATTCCGGCATCTTGTCATCAACCTTCCGGCAGAGGGCGAGCACATGTTGTATGTATGTGACGTACGACTCGGTGCCGGACTAGAGTCGGGACTCTAGTTCTTTCTGCGCAGCACGACGCCGCCCGATGGGCTTGCCGAAGAGATCGATGAGTTTCTGCTTACAGATGTCCCAACTCGTGATATCTTCCTCGTGGTTGGAAAACCAAACTTTAGCTGTACCATCAAGGTAGAAAATAATATTGGCCAACATGAGCGTCGGATCCCAGTTGTAAAGAGCGCTCACCCTTTCGTACAGCTGGAGCCGTTCCTCCACGTCAGTACTGTCACTGCCCGAAAATGTGCCTGGGTCACGTGGTTGAGTCAGGACGACGGTGCGGTTAGTAGCAGCTGGATGTGGTGCTGTTGGTTGCTGCGTAGTTGGACGAAGCACGGTTGGGGTAGTCTCCGAAGAATCCTCGTGCTCGTCTTGATCAGGCATCGCACAGGCAGCCAAGGAACGTCCGCTGCGTAGAATTGTCGTGGTGTTGACTGTGGGAAGACCCACACTCTCCACCTAAATGTTACGGGGAGACGGCGTCTGAAAAATGCCTTTACTTCTGGTAAACAGGCAGGCATACAATATGGAGCCCGGTCTGCACGAGTTCGCCCTAAACATCGTCCTCTTTTCTACAATGTTCATTTGTGGCACCCCGTAGCAATATAATCCTCACCTTGACGTTAGTGAACATGAAGATGGATATGATAAAACACTAAGAGAAGATTCGTCGTTGGCGCAGCTAACCGCCGCGTTCTGGCCGAGTTCAGGGTGTCCCCCGGCTACGAGAAGCTGGGCTACCCCGACGGCATGACCACCGACGTCAACAACAAACTCTGGATTGCCTGCTTCGATGCCGGCGCTGTGGTGCAGGTCGACCCTGAGACCGGTAAGTGGTACGTCGCAATGCCTCGGCATCGACGAGAAAAATAAAATAAAAAGTTCAGTGCTTCCTTTTTAGAAGCAGGTAGATTGCCACTATCACTCAAGAGAAAGGTATATAACAGCTGTATCTTGCCGGTACTTAGCTACGGAGCAGAAACCTGGAGACTTACAAAGAGGGTTCAGCTTAAATTGAGGACGACGCAGCGAGCAATGGAAAGAAAATGGTAGGTGTAACCTTAAGAGACAAGAAGAGAGCAGAGTAGATTAGGAAACAAACGGGGGTTAAGGATATCATAGCTGAAATCAAGAAGAAGAAATGGACACGGGCCGGGCATGTAGCGCGTATACAGGATAACCGCTGGTCGTTAAGGGTAACTAACTGGATTCCCAGAGAAGGCAAGCGGGTTATGGGGAGACAGAAAGTTAGGTGGGCATATGAGATTAAGAAGTTTGCGGGTATAAATTGGCAGCAGCAAGCACAGGACCGGGTTAACTGGCGGAACATGGGAGAGGCCTTTGTCCTGCAGTGGACGTAGTCAGGCTGATGATGATGATGATGATGATGACATTAAGAAAATGCGTAGTGTTCGGGAAGGACACTGCAGAATTCCATTATATCAAATTCGTTCGTCAACTAGCCAGCTCCAACTGACCCAGAGCACTGCGATGACTAAAGTTACAAGATTGACACTTTGACATTAAAGAATTTGACGTTGACGAGAATGGTACCTCACATTGATATATTTCATTTCATTTCATTTATTGATTTATTTACGACAATATTGTTGCGGGAGATGACGGGGGGAAAAAGCTGATCGGTCAGCTTGGTGGTGTCCCGGACACCCTACACATACGTCAGTGTAAACAGTGGTAGCAGAAACAACAACAAAATTGCCCGCACAATGTATTGCTCATGACACATGAATATTTGACGGTGGCAATGTATGTTCTGTTTTACCCTAATTTCTCTCCTCCTGCTTTCAGCTAAGATCCTCACCAAGATCGACTTTCCGGCCAAGTTCACCACGTCATGTTGCTTCGGGGGCAAGAACTACGACACGCTCTACGTCACTTCCGCCAGTTTCCCGCCCGAGGCCACGAAACCCGAAGACGGGCTGCTCTTTCAAGTGACCGAGCTCGGGGTGAAAGGGAAAGCGGCGTTTGAATTCGCCGGCTAGCCTGCGGCGCTGCGGCAAAACAAGCTCAACATAACGCAAATGGTGTAAATTCGCGTGCAGATGCTGGCAGTCATACACAAAAGGCCGTATATGTCTAACCAAGCCCGGACCAGCTGTATACATGTCTCAGGCCCGTAACCAGGGATTTCTTGCGAAGAAGGAGGGGGGGGGGGACACTTGATGAACACTTTGACGAACACTTATTTTCATTATATGTGCTCTGTGAAACGCCCCCTTCGATCAAATTTAGGGGGGGGGGGGCACCATGGCGTGCCCTTTTCTGGCTACGGGCCTGGCTTGTCCACACTTTCACTGTGATACAGCCTTGCGCGATGTAGTGTAAGGTGGGCTAAATTTTGCTTAGATTTTTTCATTATCTTCGTCAAAAGTTATTCTCAATAACATGCCATTTCCGGTGGTGAAAATGGGGGTGAACTAGGGACAGCTCGTTTGTGCGCCTCAGCCGATTGTACTTAATACACGTGCGTAGTTCGCGACGAATGGCTACACTCGCTAAGGAGTCCTCCAGTCTGATTTATATATGTACTTATTTTCTTGTGAATTACGTAAAAGAGGTGGCGTACGAGCTTACGCTTACCTGTGGAAATAAATATATAAAGTATATAGGTCAGAGGGGATAGCGCACTGATGATCGTCTTCGTGAACACAAGGTAAACTTTTAAAACAACAAGAATTATGGTGATTTGTCTGTAAATTGTTTGGTATGCGGTTTTATGGTACTGTCGAAGCGTAAAGATAAATATGTCAGAGAGAATATGGAAGCCATAACTATCTTTCGCAGTAGTAACTATCTTTCGCAGTAGTGACTCGTGCGTGAGCTGCACCATCAATCGGCCTTTTAGGTCGACAGAGGGCTTTTCTGGCCATGGCTAATGATTGGGCTGGGGGTGCCTCTGTGTATGGATAATTAGTTTGGCGTTATTTGAAAATAAAATTGTTGTAATTAGCGCATGGTGCTGTCGTCTACATAACGTCCCTGTTTGCTATAGCCCACAATATGTTTTCCAGATAGTTTCCTAATAGGCCGCGTAAATTTGTGTGGCACATACCCATTTGTTGGTCGAAGTGTTACCTTCTTTCTTCTGAGTGGGAATAATTAGTAGGGGGATTCACGCAATTTCTGTGGAGTATACTCTTTTATGAAGACTATGGTTTTTGGTATATTAAGTATAAACAAGGAATTACCTGCAAAATAGCTTCGTTGTTAAAACGCGCGTCCGGGCTAAATAAATAGCGGGCAGGGGAGCTATTCTTGCTGTGTCCAATTCGCCAGAGCGCGTTCAGTTACACACACACACACACACACACACACACACACACACACACACACACACGCACGCACGCACGCACGCACGCACGCACGCACGCACGCACGCGCGCACGCACGCACGCGCGCGCGCGCGCGCGCGCGCACACACACACACACACACACACACACGAATGAGTGGTGACGCTATTGCGTGCTTGACCTCGTCGGCACACCGAGGGTGCCAGCACATTATCAGCGTAAAAAGAAATTAAGTGGATGAAATGTAGAGCAACGGGACTCTTAAAAAGTCTGAACGTGCGTATGAACGTGTTGAGATGTTTGAAGAGCGATGCAGGGAACGCGTGCAGATTATAGACTATTTTCCCTTAAGGCATATGGGCGCCGTCATTTCGGGTTGCTAAGTCGATATCTTGTTGTTTCAGTACATCGCGACGTGAATTAGTGAGGTCATGAAATATCGTACGCACCAACCAATTCGTATTCATGACTATGCGTCTACCATGACACCGTTTTTTAGTTTAAGATACCAAACACAAATGTTAACAGCGCAGTGCGGCGCCTCTCAAACGCACCCGCAAAAGAGTCGATTATCCCCGCGATTGAAGTCCCCGCGATTGATTATCCGGAACTAAAGTTCAGTGAGCTTGGATCATGTGCTGCGAATGAGCACCGCACGTTGCTTATGCCTACCTCGCAAAGTACGTGTCACTCACCATCACGTTTTTCCATGAATCGCAATCGAGTAGGTTTTCCTCATTGTTGCAATCCAGTACTACGTATACGCTAGCATACACGTAATCAGTGTCTCCCGTGAATATTGGGTAACTCCATTAGAGCGAGCATTTTTTGTCTTCCGCGCACTTGAAGGAAACTTCGCGCCAAGGCTTTCATCTGCTACACGTGAGCAGATAACTGGATTGGCGATCCCTCGCCTTGTTTTTCTACTCATCTTCATCTTCATCTCATGCGCTCGCAATCACCATTGCGAGGACCATTAGCAAGCACATGTTTAGCGCCTGCTCTAATGCTGTCTACGATTTAGGTGAACAGAACGCGAGGGAGCGAAATTTTCAGAGCCCTCCACTATGGCGTCTCTCATAATCATATGATGGGAAAAAAAAGTACCGTAAAAACGTTTTTGCAGTAGCTTTTCATGTGTTCGCATCATTGGAGAAGCTTCGTGCAATGAAAAGATAAAAAGTAAATAGATAAAATAGAAGTGTACACCTTGTGAAGACACAGCTTAGATTGTGGCGTTAGTTTTGAGGCGTTTTGTCACGGCTTTGTTTGCGGCACCTTTGCAATAGAAACCTGTTGTGTGTGCATCGTGATAGCACAGTGTGGCACGCGTATATATTGGTTTCATGAAACGACAATAGAGAGTTAGCAGTCTGCGCTTTTTCCTTTCTCCCTTCTCGTTTTCCTTCAGCTTGCGCAGCAAGTCGACTATTCGAGTGCTTGCAGGTTTGGTCTTCTAACGTGAACACGCACCAACTAGCTCGCCTCTCTGGTAGTCCAACCCGAGAGTGTGTAGCGTTGGACGCATGCGCAGTGGCGACAAACGCAAACACAAAACATTGCGCACCCTCTTCTAAAACTCTCCACTCTTCTCGCTGGCTGCGCTAAGGTATATGTCCTGCAAGAGAGGACCACTTGGCGGTCCGCGACAACATGCATGCGTCGGCACTTGGCGGACCACTGCAAGCGTAGTAGTTCTGCAGCACACTTCCGCCAAACCACGTCTTAAGGAAAGCAAACGAGGTCACGCAAAGAGAGACAACTGAGGTGTTCTTTATAGAAATGACAAGCATTAAGTGCGTTTGCGCGCCATCGATAAATTTCAATTCAACCTTATTTCAGGTATTCTACGAGTAGAAAGAGGCTAGGCTTTGATCGCCTTACAGTGCCATCTGCCCCCACGAGTTCAGTGCAAGTGCAATACAGAAAGCAAGACAATAACGTTAAACACATTGTAAGGAAAGGAGCGCGCGCTAAGCGAGCGCGAAGAGGAGGAGATCAAAGTCAGAACAAGAACAAGCAGCAAGGGCGTTTCTCTTGATTCGCTATCTCTATCATTACAACATATAAAAAATAAGTTAGGTAGAAAAATAGAATGGTAATCAAATGATATAACAGAGGTTATTGCTGCGATGCAAAGTGTTGATCACAATGTAGATAGTGGCGATAACAGCGAAGAAAAAAAAATAAAGCACTCGCATAAACCAAGAAAAATACATTTTCTCTCATAAAAAAGTGACGACGGTTTCTTATGTCCTACTAATATCTCTTCACTGCCATCTGTCATAATCACATGGTGGTTTTGGAACGTTAAACCCCAATAAATATATATCTCTTCACTACAGCACACATCTATTAACAACAAAGAAGACATGTATTATACTCAATGTTGCAGAAAACAAAATTTCTATTGCGGAAAATGTTTCCCAAAAAAGTGATGACGGTCATATACTCGATATCTGGTACAGCTGTACCAGATATATCCACTGGAACACACGCAGATGCGTTGATGCTGCATCACTAACAGATCACATACAAGGCATATACTGGTAGCGTAACTTCCATAGAGGCCTATGTATCCAGTAGTTGGCGGCTCGTTGCCACCATCACCATCTGCGTATAGAGGGGACAGCTAACAGCAAAATATATAAAATAAAAATAAAATATGACGTCATAACCAGAAATGGTACCGACGTCATGCATTTGCACTACAAGGCGCGAAACGGAATTTTCGCTCAATTGCTGACCTTTTACGTGCCGTTATAAGTAAGCAATTTTATTGCACCTTATGGCTCGCTGATTGCGTGCGAGAGGGAAAAGAAAGACAGACAAAAAAAGACTAAGGAAGCAGGGTTAATTGTTCTAATAGTCAGATGGCGTACTTGCAACATACACCGAAAGCTTTGAGGATGAATAAATTGTGATATCACAAGCACCATAGCAAAATAGTACAATAGCGAATAGCACAACAGCAAAACTCACGTTGCTCATTTGTAGAAAACCACTGCAGCGAGACAGCAGCCTTGAGAATATCGCTTTGGTAGCTGTAGAGTACCCGTTGCTTACCGTGTCGCATGCACCGTCACCAAAGGCCGTGCGCCAGTGAAGGCATGTCAGCTGTCGCAGAAGCGGCTATTAACAACAAAGAACTAGCCCTCACACATTCTGTGAGGGCTAGTTGAGCTCGTGAATGTCACGCTAGTGAACAGCACATAAGCGAACAAACTACGGAAGGTACTCACAATTAAAAGTACAACGCAAAAGTGAGCGATGCCTCACTGACCCGGCAATGCACCGAACTAAGCACAAACCCCGAAAACAGATTGCCCGGATACGCCCCCCCCCCCCCCCCCGCACCTCCACCAATTTCAAGCTCTCGACCCAAAAATGAGTCAATCAGTCATTGAGCCAACTGTAAGACAAACAGTGAAGTAAATGTACCGCTAATTTTGACATAGATAAAGTTACGACTATTTGAAAAAAATTATCGCGTTTTTGGTTGTTTGTCCCCTCCTCACCTAGACGTTCAACCGTCGGCGGGCGTTGATGCGATCGGCAATGGGTTTTCGACACTTCTCGCTCCGCGCTTCACGGTCTATGTAATTTGACCACGCTACATATGCCGCGTGTTACGTCATCACGATGTCGCTATAAAAAGATGAGCGCTTGAAAAAAAAAACAAAGGGCAATGTTCTTCCACGACAACTGGCGTGCTGTCTCGCTTCGGCTGCTCCGTGTGACCTGCGAGTTGGCCATAACATCCTGTAGGCGTGTCATGTTCAAATTGTACGCTGCCTCTTTTGCCTGTCACTGGGATAGATCCTGTAATGGACAGGTGTTTTGGTGTGCCGGCTTGGTCATTGTGGCACAGTTCAGGTCAATGCAGTTTCTGATTCCTGCCATTCGTCTCTCCTGACACTTGCTCATCATGTTTTGTGTTCACCCATGTTACTATATCTTAATCAGATTACTTCGTTCGGCACATTGTACGTAGAAGCGTAGTTTCCTTTGATGAATATGTAGAACTTTGCGCATGTGTTTGTCGGCCCGTGTCTTCATTTCGTTTCTGTCATATTAGCGCCATAGCTATTTGCTTCATAGATAAGTATACATTTCGCCATAGGAAAACTTAACAGCATGGCGGCAATCGCCATTGCATTCCGCCTCACAGGAACAGAGGATACGGTGCTCAGCTGCTGAACCGAAGGTCACGGATTCGATGCAGGCCACGGTGGTCACATTTCGATGTGGGTGAAATGGTAAAGCCCCCTGTACTGTGCGATATTAGTGCACGTTAAAGAACACCCGTTGGTCAAAATTTCCGGGGCCATCCACTACGGCGTATCCCATAATGATATCGCGATTTTAGGACTCAACAACTCGCATAATATTACTCGGCATTGTACACAATAGTATCCCTCGTTTCGTATCCCACGAAGGAAATTATATATTCTTTTTTACCCGTATTTGCCCCTTCCTGCTTTCAGCCAAAGCGCTCACCAAAATAAACTTGCCGGCCATGTACATTTCGTCATGCTGCTTCGGAGGCGATTAGAACTACGACACACTCTACGTCACTTCCGGCAGTTTTCTTCCTGACTGACGCCACAAGACTTGAAGACGGGATTCTCTTTGAAGTCATCGAGCTCGGGGTGAAGGGAAAAGCGGCGTTTCAATTAGCTGGCTATAGCAGGGACGGTGGTCGTGAGGGTTGGGCTCCGGAATTTCCTCCTGCCCCCAACTCAAACATATCCGAAGCACAACGCATAAGTTTCCAGGGCTCCTGTTCCACCTTTAAGGAACTCACTTTTCGTTGATGCCTTCCCATAGCAAGAAACGAAAAAAAAAATCTGGCACAGCCCCTGCCGGTTGTAGTCTTCAGCGCTGTGGGAATACAAGTTTAGCATTACGCAAAGGCACCATGGCTTAAGCAGGCGTCGTGTTATCAACAGTCAGTCATTCACGTCCAACAACTACGAGGCGGGTGATTATACTTCGTAACTACATTCTGAACCATCGTGCTCCGAAAAAAACCTCCGAGATTGCGCAATGTGAGGGTTGTAACACGTATTGTCAAATATACGGGCTTCGTGTTCTATGTATAAAGCTAAGAAGTCATTCAAGTTTTATCTAGTTTATTTTTTGTCTTTCTGATGGCGTCCCCTTATCTACCAAGTGTATGAACGCAACATAATTGCTGATAGTTCTATCCTAAAATTGCCAGTTACCATACTCAAACGTATGAAAAGGAAGATGCAAGAACATTGGCGATTTTTTGCTGGAAGCTTGCTGCTGATAGTACCTTATTTTACTCGAATCCGGGCCTCTATTTTGCATTTGGTGGGTGCCACGAATTGAGAACAAAGCTGAGCTTGTGCTACCAGTCCGGACTGCATCGTACACAGTCCACCCGGACATCATCGAGCCTCAGTCATCCAAGTAATTGAACGAGCCTGCATGACATCTCTGCGACGTGACACTACTTCGTGTCGTCAAGAGAAAGTTAAGACAAACAAACGAAATTTCTATTTTTTCTTGCTATGTTACGTTATGCAAGAAGTACGCAGTTTCCACTAAGTCCCGCAAGACTAAAACACTGCTAAGCTAGTTCGTCTCATGATTTCCTATATAGCATATCGTGATGAAACTAGGCTGTTCCAAGGTTATGACGGCATGGTACTTGACTCTACCATGTTTGAACCGCACTGTTCGAGATTCAGTGTATTCGAGATTGGCTTGTCATTGCGGGTGTCTATCCAACATAAAAGCGAGTCTACCTTCGCAAAACCCGCCTGGCCTCCTTCTTGGGAGTACGTACCTTTCTATATGTCGACCCATGGCAGCGACTATCTCGATACTGGTCGATTTCTTAGCTCAGGCTTGGTTGCTGGACAGTTGTTACGCGGTGCATATGCGGCTGGACATGGCGTCACTTCAGTTGGCGAGTAGCGGTGTTCCACTTGGCACGAGTGTGCCAGCGTAGTCGGCACGCAGCCCCCGGCGCACGCGCGGCTTGACGACAAGTCGTACCAGCTGTGCAAGGCGAGTGGTTGCTAGGCAACGAAACATCGAGATTCTTAGATAGGGTCGGACACATTATGGCCAGCCTGAACATCTTCGCTGGGGAAAAACACAACGCCGCCGTAATTGTGTACGCAAAACGGGTGGCTACTTGAGCGCAGGCGACCATATATACTGGCGAGATTCGCACATTCCGCTTAGCCGCCATCTTGTTTGGACAGTAAAGTGCTCTTCGTCGTATTTGTCTTCATAAAGTTGCCTACCATATTTATTAGGGTACTCTGCGCTTATTTCCGATATTTTCGTCGCGAAGTTGTCTATTTTGACGGGCTATGCGATAAGTGGAAGGAGATTCAACGCGGTTGCTGTCCGCTTAACTATTTAAGCATCTACGATGACTATTCGATCACGCCCTGTATTGAAAAATAAAGCCATAGTTATATACATAAATGCATATTAAAATTTATGTTAGCAGCTTACAAACCGTACATGGGAAATAACAGAAGGGACCACAGATTTAAAAAAAAAACGCAATATAAGCGCGGTGAAGTCTGGAGTCCTGTGTCGTTGCTATAGGGCGTCCTTACTCGTCCTGGCCCGTCCGTATTTATATTGCGCTGTTTTTTAAAGCTATGGGTAGGTGCCAACTTGCTCGAGTTGAGGTGATATAGTTAACAGAAGCAACGCTACAATGCCTTAGTGTCGTAAAACTAAACATAATGAGCAACAATGTACGGCATGGCACGTAGCGCCATCATCAATCATCGTGCGCTGTTAGGAACCTGACCCCATAGATCTTTTTTACCCCCGGGTGTTCTTACGCAAGCACCTTTTCCTCATTATACCCGAAAGAACCCCTTCTCACTGTGGCGCCAATCTATAAAGACCTGAAGTGGTAGGCACATCTTGCAATGTTTTATACGTATGCTTCATTTTAATATTGTAAAATAAAGTTTTGCACTTACATGTAATAATGATAATAATAATAATAATAATAATAATAATAATAATAATAATAATAATAATAATAATAATAATAATAATTCCTTTATGCCGAATCAGATAAAAACATTTCTTCCTTTTTTTTTCTTTTGAAATCCCATCTTTCACCATACATTCACCGCAAATCCTTGGGCGTAAATGCATGTCAGCAACAACATCCCTCCTCTCCCCCCGGAAAAATTTCTAGCTGCGCTTAGCTTGTTTTTCTTGTATGTTTAGGGGACAGTGACCCGACACCAAACACAACGTGTTCATTCACGTGGGTTCTCGGCGGCCACGTGGAGCTGTCGCGGTGTTTTTCTGCGAGAAATGGCGCAACGGCGAGACATGCCGGTTGCCGAGGCGGTCGCCTCGCGCGACCCAGTCACCTTGATAGACGCCGACGGCTATCGGCGCGTTCGTACGTCGAAACTAAACAAAACCAAAATAGCTGAAAGTGTTCAGGCGGATTAAAAAAAAAAAGTGGCTATCAAGGCACCGCTAGGGTGCCTTGCGCGTGCTTTTTCCGGGGGGGGGGGGGTCTCCGCAGGCACCCGGCGCCAAGCGAAAACCGACGCCTCGACATTTCTCGCGCATGTATGGTCAAACAGGTTCTTCACTTGTGCGTACTGGCCGTTCCGTGTGTGCTCAACAGGGTCGCGCCCATTTAATGTTAGTTTCCGTGTTCGCGTCCACCGCTTGAAGAAAGGGGCCTCCTCGCATATACAGGACAAGGTAAGCCATTGGAGAGTTATCAGCTTTTTTGCTATTATGGTAGTATTATAATTGAAGTTTCTTCTTAAAATTGTATCTCTTGTTCTTCTTAGTACCGCGTGCATCCCTTCGTATGCGTTTTGTTTGTGAACGGTTTAGAAGTGGTTTGGGGTTAGCAGGGACCGTTCTACACCAATAAAAAGAGGCATAGCTTCTAGTATTATGACTGCATTGCGCAAATTATGTGTGCAAGACTGAGCCAAGTGTGTCCAAGCAAGTTCATCGATCAAGGAAGGCTATGTTTTCCGGTGTATGTTGTCTCATGTGTTTGCGAGACATTGCTTAAGAAATAAATAAAAAATTGCCAAAGGAGGGGCCAACAAAAGTTCTTGACAGAGGACCGTGGCACTTGTGATTCCCTTCACAAAGTATCTCACAACTTGAAGAAAGGCAACTAACCGACAACATATCAGTTTAGTTTTTTTTTTTCAGCACCTTGCAAATCATCAGCCATCTGAAGAAAACATTCGTACAGGAAGAAAATACTTGTGCAACCTCAAACTAATTTCAGGACTGTTTATACTGCATGTGTATACCGCAAATGTGCTTTACCAGATCATCCTTACTTGTGACCGTGTTTACAGTGAACAGACTAGTCAGTGCTTTTAGTGACAGTACTGTAATGAATTCAAGAATGGGTATGGTAGCCACTTAGCTGAACATGCTAGCAATGTAGTCACACGCCTTTATTTCAGAACACCACTTTTCTAAAGGAAAGAACATCGAAAACAGGACGCGAAATTGTCCAAACATACCTGATAAAAAAGCAAAAGATAAGTATGCCACCTACCCACCTTTGGCGTTTCAAGAAAGTGAAGTGCCTTTTCTTTCAACGCATTTGGATGCGCGACGATTTGATATCAGTTTTCATGTTCTGCGTTTCGTAAACCACGCTCGAATATCTGAGAAGCCTCTATCTTCCAGATATCCGAATCCTCTGACAGGCTTGAGCGCGCAAAAACGAGAACAGATGAATTTATCCTGGAACTGTTGAGTGGCGAACAGGATTCGAATTTTCGATGCCGCATGTAGTAAGTACGTATCAATGCCGACATGCCTAACCGGAAATCACGTACAGTACGGTACACTGTTGAAAGGAACACGCGAGTGCGTGGCTGGCGCTCAGTGGAGCGCCAACTGTTGGCGAGATTTCGAAACGCGGCGCGCGCGTGCATCAGTTCATGAAGGTTGTTTGTGCCCCGCGTCGTCAGCTACTTCTCTAGTCGTGCTCTCAGCGTGAGCAAGCGCGAACCTTAACCCTTCGCGTTTTTCATGTTCGCACTGTAAGTCAAGTGATACCAACTCAGCCTTCTGCTTCTTTAATATGCCGAAATTTCATGATCACAGGGGCGAGCTTATAATTTCGCTGCCTCAGACTTCAATAGCCTTGTCTGTTACCCAAAGCGGTCATTCGCAGTAAGCAGTATGTCAAAATATGACAGGCTTAGCGGTGAGACCTTGGAAAAAACTCAAGCAATGAATAAAACCATGCATTTTTTTTTTTTCGTGCTTGGTGGAAATCCAAGGAGGAGCAAGCAGAGGGGAGGTCAGATAAATTGAACCGCAAGAATATGGAAGCGCCTTCCGAAGCACACGGGCAGGCAAGTAGCAGACGAAACTGGGCGTGTAGCATGCTTACGATTCTGCGCATGCGCTGAGTTTATACATCACTCCGCCAATCAGCGCCGCACGGCCGGCTGGCCCCGAGCTCGCGTGTTCCCTATAGCAGCGGATCATATATACTGTACATAAATGGCGACCAACGCTTTCGTCACCAGCATTGCACAGTGGTGTTTGCTAGTGCTACACATAGTAGTGCAAAGTACTACTAGTTTTATCTCGAAACGACGACATTGTTTAAAAAATGCCAGAGACCATCCCTCACTGGGAATACAGGGCAAGTGGAGCTTGCCGTCATCGTGTCTGACCTAAAGTATAAACTTGAGAGTCGTGTCAACTTCATCTTGCCGGTGCATATTCATAGTAAAATACAGCACGAAAGCAACAAGAGACAGAAAAAACAGGACAAAGCGCTGACTACTAATAACTGGGCTTCTTTTTGCAGTAAAAAATAAAAGCAATTGTTGGTAGTCCAAGCTATGTCCTGTCTCTTCCGTATCGATTTTGTGTTGTATTTTACTGTTAGCTTGATCTGGAATAGTTTCTTTCATTGCGCAGCACTGGGTCAACTATACCCTTACGCAGTTGGCGTAATGACTCAGGTTCCGGTGCAGAAACCGCAACGGGCCCGGTCCCCGCGCGATCGCGCACTCACACGTTCGCCATGCTTAATGCGTCCATGACGTCGACAGCCTGGCTGGCGGCAATCTTCTGCGTCACCTGGTCCGTGGAGCGTATAGAAAGGTCTTATAGACCTCCCAGACTTACTCACAACGAAGACATGTACGACCCACAGTGTCGTACTCGAGGGCACCCTGAGCGTGTCGAGAGTTGTCTATCAGTGAAAGCGTCATCCCGTGATAGGCAATGCAGAGAGGCGGCAACTTCGCTTCAATATATCTTTCTTGGCCACCGAAGAAGCTCTCCGCTTTGAGTGGTGACGCGCTGTGGGCGCAGGATCACGAAGATAAGCGTTAGAGATACCCGCGGTGTTAAACCCTGAACAGCATCTGTTTACCTATAGCTTATATATTCACTTGAGTGACGCTCCCCATTTGGCCGGAACCTGATAATATGTGTGATACGAGTTACACGTTTTTAAAGACGATAGTCTTTCTTGGGGACCTTCGACGCAATTAATTTTTGTCTATCTGTCTGTACATTTGTTTGTTTGTCCACTCTTAACGGCATCGGGTACTTTAAAGAGGTCGACCCCATCCGGAGCGCCCACCTATGTTGCTCAAGGTTGAGCGTGCATGTTTGTGCAATTTTCAATTAAAAAGGCAATTATTGTGCATGCCTGCGGCACCATAACAGCACGTATATATTCTGCATGTGCGTCTCTTACTAGAAAAGGCATACATAAGTAATTTTAAGGACCGTAGCGTTTATCACGCTGCGCTGACCATGCAACCCTTGCACGGAAAGGCGAGTGTTTCCAACGCTTTGCTAAAACTAGACGGTGGTGGCACATACCCGTCGCCTTGCGTTCTACACCTTATCACCTCTGAGATGGGCACGCACACCGGTCTCAGAGCCATGCGCTTTGTTTTCTAAGGAAACTGCCAGATGGCGCTTATGTCTCACGTGTGACGTGCCTTTATGCGCTCGTTCTCCTCCGCTGCACGCTCGAGGCACTCTAACGCATCGCCTCCAGAATACTATTCACCGATTTTCTTGCGCAGAACATCAAATAAATGTCTTGGTCACTCTCTCCACCCACAAGACTATCATCTTTCGACGACATTTGCAGATTACATGCAGATACGGAGCCAATTTTTCTAAATAGATCTGTATGGAAGCCTCGCACGCAAGCGCCTAGATTTCGGTGCTATCACCTGTCAGTCAGCGACACCATCAGCCTTAAAGATGCTCGACCCCGTCCACCATCTAGGCATTCGCCTTTCTACCGGTGCCTTTCGAATTAGTTCCGTGGAAAGATGATGTACGTAGAATCAAATGAATGGTCGCTCCATCTGCATAGAGGTTACATTTCCTTTACATACTGCCATAAGGCTAACGCAACTGAGGAACATCCCTTCACTCCATAATTAATGATGTGTCCAATGCTACCTTGTTCAACAACCGTCCTTCACTAAGACAGCCCTACTCACTCCGTGTGAGGAGCCTCGTTGAGGAAACAGGCGTGCCACTTTTAGAGCGCAGGTTGATGGCTCCTGCAGCATATCCGCCGCCGTGGCAGTGACAGATCATTGACTGCTACGTATCCTTCCTGGAAGTTACTAAACACGCACCTACTGCCCACATCCGCACACACTTTCTCGAACTTCAACATTAAATACGCTTGCCCCAGTATTCTTTACAGATGCGTCAAAGTTTCGTACTGGTATTCCGGTATCCAGTATTCTGCACCCACAGACAAGCATCTTCACTGCAGAAGCCCATGCTACATCTGTGACCGTCAATAATATCAAAGTATTACAACTGCAACGTGCGGTTGTACACACAGATTCGCAGAGCGTCGTGACAACTTTGAAAAATAAACAAAAATCCTGTCCTTGTATCCCTTTACTCTCTTTTATGCATTGTCTACGCCCTGACACGACAGATTGTGGTGTGCTGGGTGCCAGGGCACCACAAGACTGCTGGGAACGTAGAGGCGTACCAGCTGGCTGTGTCTGCGCACGACCACGCACCCGCCAATACATCCATGGCCGTACCTGCACTTGACATGAAACCTTTCCTGCGACGGGAGCTCGGGGTGTTCTGGCAGCGCCTGTGGGTTAGGCAAACGGAAAACAAATTGGATGTCATCAACCCGAGATTTAAAAATTGGCCAATAGTATCCAGATCCCAGTACACACAAGTCACACTTACAAAGCTACAAATAGGACACACTCACAAAACACATTTATATCTTTTGTCTGGTGTCGACCCGCCATTGTGTGAGAGATGTGGAGAGCCACTTACGGTTCTCCACATCCTCGTCCAGTGCCATGAGTTAGATGTTCCAAAAAAAAAGCATGTTTTACTACCCTACCGACAGCAGCTCCCACTACGCCCTAAGATGCTCATCGGTAGGGATCCGCTTTTCAAACTTCAATCACTGTTAACGTTTTTAAACGGTGTACATAGTTTGCACCCTCTATTTGGAGGTGATCCGTAGCACGACCTCTGTACCGGCGAGGTCGCAGCTGCGGTGACTACATTCCCACCATAGTTGCATTATCATGACCTCTCGCCATCCACTAGCGCTGCACATATTTCACGTCACTGTCATGATTTTATTACTTCTATATATTTACCTGCGTTAGCGCGAGGAATGTTAAGGTCCCTATACAGCCACGCATTATATCATTGTTCACATCTATTTTCTAGTGAAATGGCGCTCTCTCACCATCATTTGGCCCTTGCGCCATAAAACACGACACATCATCATCATTATTTTTTAAATGCTCATGTTATACCTACTAAGCCCATGCAACACGTGCACATGTAACAATTGCGCATGTACCACCTCTTCACTTCAGCACTAGCAGTAACAAGTGGATCGATTTAGCACATACCTAATCAATGCAATATATATGTTGAAAGGATGACACATTAAGCAATAGTAGTATCAATAATAATATTTGTCAGGGGTTTTATGTCTGGCTATCAAGATATCGTTTTAAGGGACACCTTAATGGAGGGCTACGGAAGTTTCTATCCTGCCGATGTTCTTTAACGTGCACCTAAATCTAAGTACGCCGGTGCCAAGTATTTCCGCCTTCATCGAAAATGCGGTTGCCGTGGCCGGGATTCGATCCCGAGACCTTCAGATCAGCATTCGGGCCCGATGACCCTTATAAGTCACCATGGCGGGTGGCGCGTTTTGTCCGCAATAACAATCCGCCAGGACTCAGCCATACACATTTTCACTGCCACATTTTCACCCGCCACATTTTCACCCGCCAAGCTCGTCACCATGTCATAGGAGGTTTCTGGTTGGTTTGTAAATATACGGAACCCATTTTCTGTTATAAGCGCGATATGAGAACGGCTAGGATGCCCACCTGTACCACTAATGTATCGCAGCATCTACTATAAAAACAGATGTCTTCATTACCGCTAGTGTTTCTTTACAGCGGTGAACAGCTGACTGTCATTCTGACTTTGAATGTTGACTCTTCTTTTTTTTTTCTCCGCAAGTGTCTTGTGGTTATGGTGACCGAGTGACCCGAATGTTGCAGGATGGAATTCCGACAACACTGACCACGGTTCAATGGAGGCTAAACGCCAGAGGCCTCCGGGACTTAAGGCTAGGTTCACGATGAAACACCTCAGCTGTGTGAAATTTCCGGAACACTACTGTCCGGTGTCCCTCGTAATCACATCATAGTTTTGGGATGTCAAAAGCCCAGGAATTTCTATAGTGAAGGAAGCAATGGGCAGTGCTGCAGCGTTGTCGATCAACGCTGTGCATACCCTGTTAAAGAGGGTGCCCTTTAAATGTAGTTCCCCCAAAATCCCAAGCGCATACCAACTTGTTATATGGGATCGTGTTGCAGTAATGCCCCATGAAATACACGGACACTGCACGCGTCTCACTTTCACTGCTCCCTGCCTCCTCTAAGAACCCGTCGAAACCACTATCTATACGTCGGCTTGCAATGTACACATATAGGCTTCTCCGAGTGAGGTCCTCTCACCGGGTGCTATCGCTCTCACCTTATCGAGTCGCGGTGAAGCGTGTCCCGCAAGTACTGGCAGACTGAGAGTTTTTCAGAGGAGATATTCTCAGTTGCAGGTGCACCTATTCTCCGGACGAGACGTGTTCCAGCCTGAGCGATGAAGGTGGAAGTGGCCAGCAAGCGTAAAAACATCCTGGGCGAGGGACCCCACTGGGACGAACGCAGCGGCACTCTGCTCTACGACAATGCCCGAGGCCCAGAAGTGGTCCGATATGACCCGCAGACCAGGACTGAGACAGAGATTCTCAAGCTAGGTGGGTTGTTTTGCAGTTCTTGCCTTTCTGTAATTCTGTGTGTGTGTCGTGCACTGAAGACCTCGGTAGTATTGGAGAACTTGAGACTGTTTAAAAAGAGTAATACTTATCAGGAAAATGTTGATAAGGACGTTAGAAAGATCTCGGAACTGTAGCTTTGCTGATCACAGTTGCACAGGGTAACATAAGCATTTACCAAAGCACTAAACTGCGTAACTACACTACAGCAAATGAACGTAAGTGTGAAATTATGAGCGAGTGAATAAACACTTTTTAAGTGCGGCAGTGCTACTACGAGTGAGGGGGTGAGCGGGAGAGAATATAAACAGAAGTCCCCTCTCACCCTCTGTCTATAATGTTGGTGGTCGAGGTGCCTCGAGTGACTGACTGCTCGAAGTCCTTGGACGCGGGGACATCTTTGACCCGTCAAATAAATTTCGTTTATTTTATTGCTTTTGTTACATACACCGGCGCAAAAATTTTTTCCTTAATTTATTACGTCGAGATTATGGCTTTGTTAGCAGATAATGCAATTATATATTTTCGTTCATGAACGTTACACAATTCCTAGAGTACCTCGTCAAAAACGTGTGACATCATGACGAGTTGTCGTGGAGACATCAAGGCGGCATTACCTTTTGTGCTTTCTCTTCGAGCGTTTTCTCCCTTACCGAACGTGTTCTCACCGTACGAAATGTGTCCCTGCTTCAGAGTGCCCCGACAGCAACTTTCACGGATGCTTGATGGACTTGAGAAACAGCCATTATAGGAAGAATAGGCCTTGTAACACTGGCCGAGACTGTCTTAGGCACAGAAGGCTTTGATAGCGTAGTTGCTTCTCTTTCATAGAACCTGTCTTAGAGACGGACATTTAGCACCGTCCGTGCGTTATTCTTTACACTCCATGTTTTAGTTCTTCAAACTTTTTGCCGGGATGTCTATTTTCTGTAATGTTGAATCCCGCTTACCCATTTCCCAGCACATGGTAGACAGCCGGACTAAGAGCTGGCTAGCTTCTCAGTTTTTCCCAATATTTATTTATCCTCCAGGCTAATGCACGAGTACGATGAATGAATGAATGAATCGAATTTTTATTTCACGGAAGATGAGGACCCTCGCCCGCAGTTTGGGATAAGGTGGGGAAGGAATTGCTAGGCGAACAGCGTAAATTTGTTTATGTGGTATAATTTCTTGTTGAAGATTTTTGTTTTTGGTTCACTATCAGTAAGTCTCCACCATTTATGCGCGCGCAGACTACGAAATCGGCAACCTGATCCCGTACGCCGAGGACAACCGTAAACTGATGGTGTGCATGGGCAACGGCGTCTACAAAGTGGACCTGGACACCAAGAAGACCACGTTGCTGACCGAGATGCTGGACAAGGACTCCCCCGTGCCTACACGCATCAACGACGGAAAGTGCGACGCCGTGGGTCGACTGTGGGCAGGTGTGTGCCCTTCTGCGACGCATCTTGAAAATTCTTCAGGGTTAATAAAGTCTCACTATATCACAATGCATGCGAGATGGCCGCAGAGGGCTGCAGAAGGGCGATGACCAGGGTCGCCAAACGCCTTTCCGTGCTTGAGGCGGTTGATTTTACCGCAGATATATTTAGCCGTGTCACTGATTGTGTGAAGATATCTCGGCTTCTTGGCGAAGTTTTTATTTTAGCTAGGAGAGCCACCTAGTTCCTGATACGAGTGTTCAGTCAACAATGATCGTATAGTTGGTGAAGTGCAAGCACATAGGCATGAACGAACAGGAAGGTACAAAAAAAAAAAGCACGCACGATATCCTGTTTTAGTGTGAACCCTAAACAACCTTTAACATTTAGAAATTTCTAAATGCTTGTTTGCAAGTTGAAATAGCCAGATTATCATTGGACATATTTAACAACTTCGTAGGCTGGAGTAAACAGTGGTGTGCATCTAGGCAATTGGCAGTCTTGCTCAATAGTGCAGCCCAGCCCCTTTTGCTGGGCCCAAGATGTTCCCTTTGCGCCAGTTTTGCAATGAAATTGAAACAGTAGACAAATTCTTTTTAATCTGATGATGATATTTTCATCGGCGAGCCACCTAGTAGCCCTTATTCTAAGATAGGATTAATAATGAATGTTGCACTGGGTTTAACATTTCGTGGCATGCATTACATTATTGTTACAGGTGTTTCTGCTCTGCTGCCTTTTGTTACTGAAACGAAACAAAAACTATTGACACGTGAGCTTATTTTTATACCATGATACCTTAAGTTCCAAAGCCGTTTTTTTTACTGCAATCTCTATAGAACTTCTTATCGAGATGTTTATCCCAGTGTGGATTATTGTGTTTCTCTAAAATTTCATCTGACAGTTTTACGATTTGCACGTATACTCGTTTAGCATTTTCGTTTATTGGATATTTCCTCTTTAGTCTGTTTCCAGTCTGTCTAAGCTTCTTAAGTTTTTACCTTACCTTAAACATCTTGATGTCTGGTTCTCGGCCTATCCCCATTGTCGATGTGTGCGATCAGGAAGATAATATTGTCGTACTTATCCTCATCAAAGATTCTGATTTACATGCCTTGCCTTTGTATTGTGGTCTCTTTCTCCCACGCTGTCGCCAAGCGCACTTTTACAGCAAAGCTGCAAAAGCTCTTCGAAAGGGCTGGCGATTGCAAATCGGTATACATACATTGCAAATTGTTAAGAGTACAGAGAGCTTGGAGAGAGAGGGATCAAATAGAGGAGAAGAGGGCCATGAGTTGAGAGCCGAATCTTTCACTCGTCATGCCCCTTTCGATACCATCTAGGAGCTGTCAATATTTTGCACTGAAAAAATGCACTTGGTGGTGTAGGGTGGTGATTCTTCAAGTTCGACGTGGTTCACATTCTATTCGGTGTAGCAATGCGAAAGGGATTAACTGAACCATGTCCACGTTTTTGTTCAGAATTGCCTGAGCTAAAACATCCTCGTAGTTTCTCTCTGCAACCAAACTATTTTACTAAACTTGACACATTTTGAAAAAAAAAATTAATCGCGCTGCATCGTTCACTCCATGTATCAGGTTCAATGCCCATAAAAGTCGACCTCGAGGGCATGGTGCAAGGCAAGAACAACTTCTGGTCTTACTCCAAGGGACAGCTGAAGCACAAGCTGGACAACATATCCCTCTCCAACGGAATCACCTGGACGGCCGACAACAAGACCATGTTCTACAACGACTCCGTCCCCGGAAAGCTGTTCGCCTTCGACTTTGACCTTGCTTCCGGAAATATAAGTGAGTGGGCTTACCTAATCTCGCTCTGTGGGAATAGGTTGGCGCCATAACTTTGAACTCCAATGCATGACTGTACACCACATATTTGAATTGAACGACTTTTTTCTTACAACGAATTACGAAATGACTGCAACCTCCGATTTCGGTGAAGTAGTTAGCCGCCAGCGTCCGTATAGCAGCTATCATACACAACGAGAAAAAAAAAAACAGGTTCCAGCGAAATTTCAACCCAGGTTCTCTGCGTAGCAATAGAGCATTCTACAAGGAAGTAACACCGGCGCAAAAAAAAGATCCCATGTAGACGACATGTCCGGCAACAAATCAAGTCAATAGATGTATGTTAGGAGAGTGAAATAATATAAGCCATCACACAATGAGAAACACGTAATGCGTAGGTGACTTTAGGCTTTCTAACTATTACGAAACGCGCAGCCATAGTTCATCATCGTCAGACACAGCGTGATCAAAGTGCACGTGATACCTTACAGACGCTCAGTGGGTATCTCGCTTCTCTACAAAATGGGAATATTGGTATAACACGTGCTTCCCTACTTCGCAAATTTACGATTATTTGTGGTGCAGCGCGTACTTAGCGAATGTAGCTGTAGAGATTGCCCCAAGAGAGTTTACAAGGCACTCGGGAATAGACCACTCCTGCAGATTTCGCCGTGACTGTGCAGTGTTCCGCGCAAGCCTGCACTTTTTTTTTTCAACGTCTGTCGAGAGGCCTTCTATATTTTATACCACGGCCTTCAAATAGCACCGTGCGGTCAGAGGTGACACAGCAACCCACCATACATCCATTATTGGAAGCCACAAGATCACTTCTTTAGTTCTAGTAATGAGCACACCATTTTGGAGTGTCATTCAGTTAAGATAGGTCAACATAGAAAGGGTACTTTTTTGTCATACTAATCCTCACAAGAGTCAAAAGAAAATAATAAACTTATATTCTGAAGGACAAGCCTGCACCTTCATTAGGAATCACATATTCACCCAATCATCCACTTTAGTTCGAGGCTCGTGTACTTAAATTTAGGTGCATGCTGAAGAATCCTTGGAGGTTGAAATTTCCGAAGCCCTCTCTACGGTGTTTCATAACCATGTCATATTTTTGGCTTGTAAAAGTTCAGATATTATTATTGTTGTTAATATATTGGACATGAAACTCGTATAATATACTGAAATCCTGGGGACAAACTGCGAGTGGTTGATTTGACTGCACCGAAAAGTCGCTCTACAATTCGGGCACTTTTTTTTTCCTATAGCAATAATTCTCATCTCGCTTATGCAGTGAATGCTTTGTACTATATTCAATGTGCTCTAATTTTCAGGGGCAAAGCTCCTTAATGCATGGGTCATGCGTCTCCTTTATGTAGTAGCCACCTCTCGTTTTATAGGTTTGAATGTCCGCTGGATGGTGGTACTTGTATGCAATGAATATATGATGAAAAGATGTGACATGACGGTACTTGCAGTGTTTACTAGATGAACAGACGGGCGGATGGACAGGCGGACGGGGGGGGACGGACCGGTGAACAGGTGGACAGGTGAACTGGCGGACCGGTGGACAGACGGGCGGACGGACCGGTGTACGGGTGGACGGACAGACTGACAGACGGAAGGGTGGACAGACAGACTGCCGGACGGACCGGTGGACAGACAGGTGGACGCGGCCAACGGACGATTTATGGTTTTCTGATGAAACCCTTCGAAACTTCGCCCCATTCAACACCATTCACTCCATGGATATGCTGTGATTTTTTTCATTGTCTTTGTCACGCCCCAAATAAATTAACTTAACAACTTTATTAGGGATGAAGCTCGTTATAGAGCTGAGCAAAACCAAAATTGAAACTAAACACCCGCACAACTTGAAAGGGGAACATAACTGTAAAAGATACACTTTACTATGCTCATCGATTAAGACAGCACCAATCATAATCACCTGCACGGCCCATCCATCCATCGATCCATCTGACCATCCGTGCATCCACGCTACCATTAGTCCGAACATCCATCTGTACTTGCGTTGAATCGTGCATTTGTGAGTCCATACATCAGTCCATCCGTCCGTCCGTCAGAGCATCTGCCGATTCTTTACACTAATCGGCCGCATACATTATGGTTTATGTCGTAGACATTATGAACTTGTTATCCTATAGTTATCCTATAGGATAACTATAGCAACAGTTATCATATAGCTTCGCCCAGTCGTCATCATTCACTTCGTGGAGATTCGTAGATTTCTTCATGTGTTTCGGTCGCATTGGTAGAACAACATTGCATGAAACTGGATATGTTTGATGCAGAACTTCAATAGAATGCATTTGATTTATGTAGATTTACCAGCACAAAATAAGACAGCACATTCAGGAAGGAAACACACACACACAGCGCTGAACTCACAACTGATTTAGTATTGCAAACGCAGGCCCTTTTTGCAGGCATGCGTCCAAACAACCGAAAAAAGAAGAAGCGATGAGCCAACTCACACCAGCAGCCGTTTTAGCATTCAATTTTTTGTTTCAGTAGGCGCAGTTACCTGAGCTCCTGCCATATCCTAAGATGTGACGTGCGTCCCGTACTACAACCTAAATGTGGCATTGTCACATCGTTCCTCGGGATTCTTTCAGTCCACCAAGCTTTCCTTACTCCCCAATCCAAGCGGTATTGCTTACATTTTGTCGTAATCGCACGCACGGCTACCCGATGACGACATGTGCAGCGCAGCGGAGGTGCGCGCGTCTCTCAGATGCCCTACAAAAGCGCCAGGCGAGAGACGAGAGCTGGCAAAGGAGTGGCGTGGTGTGTGCACGCGTGTGTTGGACGGCCGGCTTGGCTATAGGCATGGCAAAGGCTCAACGATTGCTTGCATCAGTGGTGGCCATGAAGACTGATTAGATAGCTTGACTGATCGTTCCTTAATTTTTCTAATAAATGATTCTGAGAGTTTTGAGGCAGCCCTTCATTCTGTCCTTTGGGCAGATGGTGAGTACCCCACATTTTTACGGAGCAATTAAGGAATAATAATTGTTGGGGTCTCACGTCCCAAAACCACCATATGATTATGAGAGACGCCGTAGTGAAGAGCTACGGCAATGTTGACCAATTGGGGCTCTTTAACGTGCACCTAAATCAAAGCACACGGGCCTAAACTATTTTCGCCTTCATCGAAACTGCGGCAGACGCGGCCGGAGTGCGATCCTGCTACCTGCGGGTCAGCGGCAGAGTGCCTTGGCCACTTGACCACCTAGGTGGGCTAGCACCTAAGGAAGCATAAGTGAAAGACGAATGAGCATTGGGACAGAGAAGACGAATGCACAGAACACTTTACTTCAGTCAATTGTCAGAATGACGGTAATATATTCAAAGATGGAGGGTCAACCATCAAAAGTGTACACGTCGTTGGCGCAGGTAATCGTCGCGTGCTGGCCGAGTTCAGGGTTACCCCCGGCTACCAGCAGCTGGGCTACCCCGACGGCATGACCATTGACGTCAACGACAAACTGTGGATCACCTGTTTCGCAGCCGGTGCTGTGGTACAGGTCGACCCAGAAACTGGTAAGTGACTCGTCGCAAAGGCCATGGCGCGGCTCACTGCATGAAAAGATGGGTATTAATATTCTTTTACTTCAGTACTTCTTTCTTCGAATGCACGAGTGTATAATGTATGGGTGGGTGGTAGGGTGGGTTGATGGGTGGATGGATCAAAGGGGTAAGAAAACATATTCACCATTTCAGATGCATTTCGGAGAAACAACTGTCTTAAAGTACGCCTATGTTGTCCGTATACGACAGGACAGATTCGTTATTCGTCCTTTTAGCAGCGAGGCTGTCTCAGCTACACGTAATATGTGCGCCCTATCTGGTGTATGCGACAGAACTTCGCGCTGAAACCAAGCGTTCGCACCTCTCGTACATCTACAGGCACATCTTCGTTGGCGTAAGCCGCTACTCTACCCATCCTGCTCCACTAAATATGAAGAAGGCAACAGTTATCCCAACGACGAATGGCCGCGAAGTGACGTCCGCGAGCCAAAGACTTTGAGTACGTGCAATGAGAGAATACTATGGAACGAGAAAGGCGGCTGCGAGACGAGCCTGGTGCGATGAAAGACCTACGCCCAGGACGACGGACCCGTAGGTGTATGAGAAGCGCGAACTCTTCGTTTCAGCGCGAGTTTCTTGTCCCTGCTGTTTGGACATCGGTGTTGGGTCTGTCACTGCGTGTTGTTTAAATCGAACCTCCCTGCACTGGGAATTAATCGACGTGCAAACAAGCTATAGCGTCAACTAGAAATAAAGGCCTCTGCCATCTAAAGTTGCTCCCAAAAGACAGCTTTGAATGGCCCAGAGCACTGCTACGAGCTTTCTGATAGGCTTATAACTTCGCCGTTAGAAAATTTAGCAGCATGGCACAACTACACGGTGTTCGGAAAAAGACTGCACATCTGTGTGTGAGAATATCGATACATTTTCTCTTACCATTCTTTATCTCTCCCTGCTTACAGCCAAAGTCCTCACCAAGATCAACTTTCCGGCCAAGTACACTACGTCATGCTGCTTCGGAGGCAAGAACTATGACACGCTCTACGTCACTTCCGCCACTTATCCACCCGATGCCACGAGACCCGAAGATGGGTTGCTCTTTCAAGTGACCGAGCTCGGGGTGAAAGGAAAACCGGCGTTTGAGTTCGCCGGCTAGGCTACAGAATTTCGAGGAAACGAATTAACCTTAAGATAAACCTTCAGATATCGACAGTCCGATCTAACCAAACAGGGTTGACCCCCTCTCGTACGAATCGGTACTACACGGAAGTAAACCTTGTTTTATCAACAGTAGTTGAATGTGATGTTATGTTTGAAAACTCGCACAACGGCTCAGGTGGACGCTCCCTCATAGTCCACGCTGAATCGTATACTGACACGTCTCCACCCAGTTGACTAACGTCTATGATCTGGATATAATTTTTGCAGTAGCTGGTGTAGTTAACGTACACCTGGACGCAACATATTGTGAATGCTGTGCAAAAATGAATCAACAAATGCATAATAGACACTGGTACTTGATATGCACTTATTCAAAGCATTGTCATTTGAAGAGAGCGATGCCATGGGGGGAGCTCCACCGTAATAGGGTAACATACAACTCTCGCGGGTTATTTTCGACGTCATTTCCGTGATTTTAGTACAACAATCAAATCTTGGTGGATCACCGCACGAAACACTCTCGTGTTAACAAAAACAAAACCGGGCTTGTTTTTCTTAAAAGTTTTGTTTTAAAATTTGGATACGCTGATCGAACTTGCCTCATTCTTACGCGTTTTGTGTGTAATTGAATGAAATAAAGTGGTATCGACTGAAAAACTAAAGCCACGGTGGCAAACAAAAACGTACATGAATGCGCATGTAAACAGCTGCTGCAACGAAGTAGGCAGTTGCTGCGTTGAAGACAAGACCACTTGCGGAAACATCGGCTCCAGGGACACCCCATATTCATAGGCGCACGCATTGGGGACGGGGCTGGGGTGAGTACCGCCACACCGAATGACCTAAACCGGGGAGGGGGGGGGGGGGGGGGTCGCAAAGTCAGCTTCCTGCTTTCGCTCAGTAGGTGGGCCGGTTCCGTCATTGTTTAAAGAGCAGGGTTGTGGACACGCAGGTTTTAGACGTTACTGAGCTGAAGGTCCCTGATGTTGCATTTTAAGAGCTGTATTCTTTTCAACTTTACACCGGGAAATCGAAGGCCATTGTACGAAGCGCGTTCTATATCACATCATTTTTATGTTTTGATTAGTAGTCCTTTGTGCTCTACCAATGAAGGTGACGGGAAAAGATGCTGAAACAGAACTTTGCCCTCCCCCCGCCCCTGATGCACGTCCATGCACGCCTTCGCACTTCCGCGCTCTTTTTCCGGAGAGTTTTCGCCGCTTCGAGAGACCCTCCTTCTTTGTGCGTTTTGTGGAATGTCCATGATTCTGCCGAGCTTGACATGGAGAGATGTACTCATAAATGGCGACGAGTGAGGGCTGTTGACCTGGTGCACTGACTTTACCAAATCGGCACGCACACGAAGAAACAGTCCCTCCTCTTCGAAGGGACATGTTCATGATGACAACTTCGTGCTGCCGGTGGAGTGAAATTCGTCGTTGTCAACCCCATGGTATCACGGGTGACCGAGAAGGGGAATGCAGGTGCCTTGAACAATGTGAAGAGAGGCAAAGCAGACGAGATGGTGAGGTTTCGTGGTAAAAGTATAAAAGTGTGATTCCGTGTTAAAGCACGAGACGAAGGAAAGATGGGATACGCTCGGTGATGAACTTGCAACTGGTAAGACCAGTTGCACCACAGAACACCTACCACATTCAGCACCGTGAACGTTTATGAACATTTATGAGCGTTCTTGAGCATGGGTGTTTTTTTCAAAAAAAAAAAACGGGTGAAGGAGTGATTGTAATTATATTATAACCCCTACATATGCGGTCCCTCGAAAGAGATTCAAATAGATCAATGGGCATGATTTTTTTTAGTTCAAGATCATTCACTAATGTTAACGTGTTCATTTATTTTTTTTTCTAAGCCTCGCTGAATCTTTCTGAAAAATCGCGCTTTTTCGCTGACCTTGAGCGACGACTCTCCTTTTCGGCTAGCTTCTATTCTACTTTTAAATCCTCACTTTCTGGGCTAGCCTGCTTTCGCAGCCAGTCTGTGTAACAAATAGCTCTCATTACAATAGCTTTGAACCAAGAATAATACGTACTGATACAGTATGAGCCGGGTCATGTTTTGGGGACAAAGGTAGAGGAAGAGGAAGTCATTTGGTTCGGCAAATCCAACATCTTTATATTATTACCTATATTACCTAATTAATCCTACCCTCCCTTTCAAGAAGTGAATTAATTTAAAAAGCAAGGCACCGTCCCATTCATGACCTATCCCCCTAGGTGGGTTGCGCCAAGATGTTGAGGAACCAACCAACCAACTATGTTCGCCGTCATCGCCGATTGTCGCCTTATCTCTCCTGTAAATAAACATAGTTAAACTCAATCTAACCATAACAGTTTTATGGTGGAGGTGCTGGGTACCTAACCAAGCAACACGGTTCTGCAACAACCTGAGCTTCGCCGAAGCCGCCGCATAGCTGGGCTACCCCCGTTACCGCTGGTGGTCGAGATGTTTCACGGTGAAGACGGAACCCTGAACTCCGCAGCTGACGGCACTGCACCACCAGTTCCAGCGACACCTTTACTACCGACCTCAGCCACGGCTGGTCTTTGGCAGCGTCAGCATCGGATAGAGTCCCGTCCTTTCGGGGTTAATTCTGGCGAGGACGAGTGGATCAAACATTACAAGCGGGTGAGCAACTACTACTTTTGGGACGCGGCAACTCAGTTGACTAACGTGGTGTTATTCTTGAGGGACACGGCGCTCACATGGTATGAGAACCATGAGGACGCCCTCACAACGTGGGAACGCTTCGTGTCCGAAATCAAGGAGTGTTTCGGGGACACCGTGGCGAAGAAGAAGCAAGCCGAACAAACGCTGCTGCAAACAGCCCACGTCCCAGGCGAAACGTGCACGATGTACATAGAGGCGATCCTGAAACTATGCAAGACCGCTAACTCTTGCATGTCCGAGGAGGACAAAGCCGGCCACCTGTTGAAGGGCATCGCAGAGGATGTTTACCACTTTCTTATCGGCAAAGACAGCATTGGTACAGTAGCCGATGTCGTACGGCATTGTCGCACGTTTGAGACGCTGGAGATGAGGCGCATTGCTCCTAAATTTGGTCGATTACCAAATGTGACCACGGTAGCGAGTGTTGACTACTACGCGCCTTCTGATCTTGCGTCTACAATACGCGAGATTGTGCGTGAAGAACTCAGTCGACACACTCGCGCGACGCCTTGCGAAGCTACACCCTTGCAGGTTCCAGACCAGCATCAGCATCCTGTTTCCATTGCTGCAGCAGGCATTGAAGAGTATGACTAAGTTTCTGGCACACCGCCGAGGCCGCAGCGCAGTCACTACCAAGACACCAGGCACCAGCGCCACTTTAGTTACCCTCGACAGCTGGCCGCTGACTATCAGAACCCGAACGAATACGCACCTCACTTCCCTTCACTTGATTACCTTAAAGACCCCCTAGAGGAAGTCTTACATAAGGTGTGGGAAACATACAACAAATGTAATACATATGCACGATGAGTATAAGTATGAACAGGGGTAACCAATACAGAAATAAAATAATACATGGGCAGGATCACTATACATGTTAACAGGCGTAACACCTTGTCAAAAAAGAAAAAAAGAGAAGACAAAGAGAGAACCAGTGGCACAAAAAGGAACAATGTAATGTATTCAAATTGAAAAGAAACGAGTGACATTTTGTATAAATGTTGAGTGGCACATTATGGTGGCGAGATCAGTGGGAAGGCCATTCCAGTCGGCCTTCCCACTGATCTCGCCACCATAATGTGCCACTCAACATTTACACAAAATGTCACTCGTTTCTTTTCAATTTAAATACATTACATTGTTCCTTATGTGCCCCTGGTTCTCTCTTTGTCTTCTCTTTTTTTTTGCAAGGTGTTACGCCTGTTAACATGTATAGTGATCCTGCCCATGTATTGCGCCCCTTCTGTGTGAGTGCACCCATTTCAACGCGCAAAGACAAGAACTTACTGCAGCTCTGGATAGACTGGACGATCGGCCTTTGTCGGAACCAAGGAGGATTGAAAACATTTCGGGGTGGAAATGATTGCGCAGAAGTGAAGCCGTTCCTCTGGCAAGATGGCGGTTGTGGTGGCCATCTTACTAGGGGCATGATAAAGTATCACCGTTCAGCGATTAAAAACGAAGCGTTTCCCTCGCACGCCCAACCAGTTTAAGGTGGCGGTTCTACTGTCGCCATATTGCGAGTAGTTCTGGAAAAAATACCAGACGGCGCCACCAAGTCAGGACTGGAAGGCCAACATTTCGGAGGTGAACTGCCACACGTGTGCCGGCGCGCCACACTGCATGACGAGGGGGTGCAAATCGCGCTGACACGGTTCGAAGAAATGAGGCACTGAGCAGGGGCTTTTTTTTTTCTCCCCTTCAACGACACCTCCATCTCTCTCCATGCTCACTAGCCCCTGACCCCTGCGGTCGCTGCTTTTCAAGAGATCCCTCATGTAGGCTGCGTAGCCTGCTTGGCCAGCTGCTCTACGTTCCATACAGTGCCGGAATGCGAGGTTGAGTGAAAAACTCTATCGCGGAGGTCACAACAATGTATATATACAATGGAGATCAAAACTTGGACTATGAATATTCATGCGAGGTTCAACGGAACAGTTCGTTCTACAAATAATTGGGGTTGCTGGAGCATGATGCGGTTCGGTGGGACAGGAGAAGGCAAATTATATTTGACTATGTATACTTCCTTCCCAGTATGACCTAAGCTTCCAAATTAAAAAAAAAACAAAAACAAAAAAACGGGTAGTTAGGCAAATCGCGTGCTAAGAAGTGCGGCCGCTGTGACTCACGGTGCCCAACACGTGCCGACTGCATAATCATTAGTTTTCCCCACTATACGTAGCGTAATTTATTTCATTAGAATTGAAACTTCAGCAGGCTAGTATGAATTCATGTTTTGGTTGATGCAGCGTTTATTTATCACGTTGCCGTACGCAAACCATCGGACTAGTCGACAAACTATTTTTATGACGAAAATGAAGCAATTACCTCTTGTGTGTCATATGAGCGAGACTCGCACATGCGTGGCCTGAATGGTCCAGGTGCGTTATTCCCTTGTCCAAGGAACGACTTCTCTATTCGCGTACGCTATTTCAACATCATTT